GACGTCACTTCGCTGGCGGGCGGCACCAGTCGCGCCCTCGCTCGTGTGCTCGGCGAGATTTACAAACACCCGCTCAAAGTGTTCCGGCCCGGCCTCGACTCGACCGAAGTCCTCCGCTTGCGAGCCATCCATGGTAAGGTTTTTTTGACGCCAACCTTCCTTCCATTGCCGTTGTTATGCTTTGGAGCTGCAAAACCAACGTTCAAATCTGAGGGAGAGGGAGTGGCCGTTTCGCCAAGACACAAACTTGTTGGCTCAGATTCAACCCAAAAACGATCAACGTCAACATGCACAAAACAAACAAAACAAACAAGCCAATGCTTACGTGATTGTCTTTGAATGGACTTGGTGTTAGATCTCAGAAAACTACACAATATTGCCAACCCAGACCACCAGTTTACAAGAACTCAAGTCTACTCCCAAATGTGGCGGAGCGAATCGCTGCGAAGCTACATGCATTTCCTGATTCCGCCCATTCTCATCAACGCGATGCTTGGGAGCGTGGTCTTCTTCACCTACACGGAGGCTCGGTCTGCTCTCGATGCTCGCTGGCTTGATCAGATTGCCAAGGCGGCGCGGCAGGCAGATGCCGAACCCAACTCTGCGCTGCATGCTCGCCTGCACCCCTACGCGTCAACGCCCACGACGAAGCGCTTTGACTTCAACCTCACTGTCGGCGGGCTGCACGCAATGCAGGCGGGAGCTCTTGCCGGTGCCGTCAACGCCATCATCGCCAATCCGATTGACTCGACCCATTGGTTCTACCTGCGCCGCGTCTCGGCAGAGATGAGTGCTGCGTTGGCCTATCGGAATGTCGCGTCTGCAACGCCCATCCACCACTTTGCACAGTCGTCGCTTGTTTCCGAGCAGTCTGCGGCATTGGACAACAAGGCAATAAGCCAACCCGTGTCGCACAGCCCGAGCGCACGGCCACTGGCACCGACTCTGCATGCCAGGATGGGGCTTTGGTCATCGCTGCTTGAGGTGTATCGGCAAAGCGGCGTCCTCGGGCTGTACAGCGGGCTGACAATCGGACTGGTTCGTGGCATCCTAGGGTATGGCGTCTTTTTCCAAGTGTACGAGCAGACGCTGACGCTGCTCCAAGGGAATATCGCCTTTCGTGTCTCTCGCGCCTTCCAGCAACGCAACTTTGAAGAGCTGTTCGAAACACTCGAGCTCGACACGAAAACATCACATTCTTCGCGACCACACCACCACTACCACCACCACCACTACATGGCGGTGATACTGGCTGGAAGCCTTGCCGGAGCCGGTTACCAGGCCGTTGCACATCCTCTCGGCGCTTTAAAACACGAAACCCTTGCGCACACAATAGCGGCAGGGCGCCGTGTCACCTTTGCCGCGATGCAGATCGCAGCCCGCCAGCTTGGTTGGTCTGGCATGACGGCTGGCTTTACGTCCTCGCTGTATCGAGCGGTGCCGTCTTCTGTCATTGGTTTGCTCATCTATGAAGCATTGCGAGACGATCCCACCGCCGTTTCGAGCTCGCTTTAAGCCAAAGTACAGTAACGTCAAAAACAATTAACAAACAATACAAATTCTGGTTTCTGCCCGTGCTTTTTGCTTCTTCCTCGTACCGATGCACACGATCCAAGTCCTAGTTGATTGAGTTACGGTGCTGCTATGCTGATGGTCAGCTTTTTTTGGCAGTCCAGAATTGCAAAACACCCAACGCTGCCAATCCATTATCAGAAACAGCGATTCTTTTTGTTTTGTTCGTTTGTTTTGGTTTTGGCTGCTGTGAAAAACCGTTCCGCTTCGCTCTCGGCTGTGCATGCGTGGTGATCTGTTGAGCCAACACGCAACACCATGCCGGGTGACCGACGGATACAAGCAGCCGACCCAATACAAGCAGCCGAAGCCGAAGCCGGCGAAACGGCTGCGCTTGCTTCCGTCATAGGTGCAGCTGCAACGATGGCGCCACCGCCGCCGTTGATGCCGAGCATGTCGGGACCCATCTCGGACATTGGTCTGCTGCTCATCGAGAAGGAGACCCCGCCGCCCGGCTATCATGTAATGCAATGCAACGACAATCGGGTGACTTTTTTTTTTTTTTTTTTTTCGGGTGTTGAGGTCAACGCTCGTCATTTCTTCACTTCTGCCTCGGTGCACATGTCTCATTGTGCGAGTTGCGTCCTTTTGTTTGAACAACCGCGCTTTTTGGGGTACTGCTTGCTCAGGTGATTACGCGGTCGCCGCTGGGACACTCGGCCAACCTCAACAAGGGCATCAAGCGGAAAAGCCGCAAGCTCGTCCTCTGCTTCAAGCGCGACGCCTCCTGCTCTCGGCCGCTCACCGACATTCGTCTGCTCTCAGACTCCGACCCAGTGCCACCCGGCGTGAGTTGCCTTGCGTTGCTGTGGCTTTTGGCTGTTTGAAGCGAGCTTTTTTTTTTTTTTTTTTTTTTTTTTTTTTTTTTTTTTGATTCGGAGCTTTGTTGTAGAACCAACCATTTGCTCACCACTCGTCGGTCTTTTGGTTGCTCTCCGCAATTTCCCCCATTGGGCAGTATTCTGTTATTGTGAAAACGTACGGAGGAGCGGAAGCGGCTCTGAACGCTGGCGGCAAGCCCATGTTTCTGGCTTACACAAGGTAAAAGCCAGCTGTTCATTCCTTTTGGCTCGTTTCATGCGAGCCGCCCAAACCCCCCCCCCCAACCCGAGGCGGGCATGATACTAACATTGCGCTCTTGATGCTCTTGTTCCATCACAGACAACCCATTTTGCGAGACTTGAGAGCTGCGCCGGTAATTCCGTTGAGCGAAGCGCTGGGTGCGAACGAGCCAATCCCGCCCTCGCCAATGAGCTCAGAACACTCAATCCCTCCGTTTGGAGCTTTCAACAATGAGAGCCCGCAAGCAGAGACGGCGCTGCGGCAACGCAACACATCTTTCACTTCCACCACCTCGTCCCTCTCGTCGTCACGATCCTCGTCGTCCCTGTCCTCCGCTCCAAATTCTGGAGACGACCCAAGCTCATTACAAGCATCCTCCTCCTCCTCCGTCCACGCTTGCTCTGTTGGTGACCGGAGCGGACCACAGGCGGACGGCGAAACTGGGAATGAGAATAGCAATTCTGGGGCCACTTCGTTTGTCGACGGCGATCATGTGGTTGAAGGCCTGTCTGTCATCCTACCAAACCGCAACGAGCGCGCGCCGGATGGCTACATTACGCTGTCTCGCTTTACCAACGGGGCGATGACGCCTCTCTCGCGCAAGCGCGTGCACATTTGCTTCAAGCTCAGTTCGCGTTACTCTGTGGCGCGTGTGTCCAGCATGATCGCGGAGGCTTTGCATCCACCAATGCCGAGCGCTTCCAATCACGAGCTCCTGCCCAGCTATCCTAGCGACGACGCCGCCATGTCACCAACGGCGGATTATTTCGGCGATCCGGGCTTTCTGTACGATCTGCATCTGCATTATTGGGCTGGTCGTGCGGATCCGGTACTGAACGCCTTGTCATCGTTGCCGCGGCCGCTGTGCAACTACGAGCTGCTCCTCCGCACCAAAGTGCACATAATGCAGCAACGGTATGGTGCCGCGCTCGACGACTGTTTGCAGGCGATTCGGTTGCGTCCGTACTATTTCAAGGTATGTTTTGTCGATTTTGTGAACGAGTCCTTGGAGAGTGCGACGCTCATCCCACGCCTTTTTGGTCGTGTATTCTCTTTTCTATGATTATTTTTGCTTATTTTTTTTTTGTTTGCTTGCTTCTAATGCTGATCAGGGGTTTTCGGTACTTGGACGATTACTCGAGCGGCTCAACTTTCTGAACGAGGCTCGGTCGGCCTACCTGCTGTCCGCAGAGCGCTGCCTCCCGTTTGTAACACAGCCGCCTCAGGAGGGTTCGCTGCAGCCGCTTCCACCGGCGTATTCCGAGTGCCCCACGGCGCACTTTTTCGTGACTCGGCTCTTTCCCTTGCATCTCAATCCCAACCGGCCGCCAGTGTCAGAGTTGCAGGCAACCGACGAGGCCGAACTCTTCGATCCCGACGGCTTTGGAAAGCGGGCGCTGGCGCGAGTCAACCATCTGCTTGCAGACCAGCTTCGAGTGCAAGGCAACACAGCCTTCCAGTCGGGCGCGACGCAGAAAGCCCTGCAGCTCTATTCGCAAGGCCTGGAGATTGATCCGAGCAACGTCTTGCTTTACAGCAACCGCGCAGCTGCTTTCCTTGTCCAGGAAGATTACCAGAATGTGCTTCGTGACTCTGACTTGTGTCTCAAGCTCGACCCAAATTGGATCAAGGTCAGTCAGTCAGTCAGCGAAAAAATACCGCGGCTTCTTGGAGTGGGGGGAGAAAGTAGGGAGTGCTTCAGCTTGTCTCTGACTTTTTTTTTTTTTTTTTTTTTTCTTCTTTTTTTTTTTTTTTCTTCTTTTTTTTTTTTTTTTCTTCTTTTTTTTTTTTTTTTTTTTTTTTGCTTTCGCAAGTCAAAAGCCCTCGAGCAACTCGGCCGCCTGGAGGAGGCACTTGCAGCGACGGTGGCGGGGCACTTGCAGCGACGGTGGCGGGTCTCGAGGTGGCGAAAGACGAGCCCACGCTCAGTCGCTGCAGAACAGTGCTGGACTCGAGTGCAGTCATGATGAGCCCTTCCTTTGAATCGATCACATCCATCAAGACGCCACCTCCCTCTTACTCTTCCCATCAGACCAGCCCCGCCCCAACGACTGCCGCTGTAGGGCTGCATTGCCCCCAACTGCAACCAGCGGGCTCTGTGGGCTCTGGATGGGCCCACAACCAATATGCCTCGTCCTCGCGAGGACACAATGGCTCGCGTCCCATCTCCTCTCAATCCTAGCGATTTCTCTTCTCTCTCCCCCCCCCACCTCCTCTCCTTTTTCTTCAGACGGGTTTAGGCTTTTTTTTTTTACTTTCTCCCTCTCGCACAAAGATTAAGTTCATGTTTTAACAATTCCCCCCCCCCCTTGTGTTTGATAGTCAGTGTTTGTAATATAGTTTCAGTTTCCTCTTCAGTTTCCTCTTTCAATCACGGTGTAATATACAATTTTGCAAACATCGAGCAGAGCCCAGCTCTATGCACTTTTGTCGGCTGCGAGCTACTGAGAGGTCTCAGATGTGCGCCATCGCTCATTGCGATGATAACTGTACACGAGCGACAGCGAACCACAGGTCATGACGTGCCATGCTGCGTGCCCTTGGAACAGGCTGTCTGGATTGCAAAGAATCTGTCGTCCACACAATGTGAGAGCCTTGTTTCATCGGGAGCAAGCCAAATCGAGTGAGACTGGTGCTTACGCGAGCAATATCCATCTGGTGCAAACCAAAAGCGGCGATGAGGAGCAAGACGGCAATCACAATCAGTCGAGGTTGAGATGCAATGCGCGAGCGAACAGCATGCGCATATGCGGCATGCAGAATCAATGCAACAATAACCATGGAAGCTGTGCAATGCCACGTTCCAAGAAGCCAAACACAAAAACAAGTCAGAACGCGGTGGCTGAGCAACGACAAAGGTTTCGCGCCCCAGCCAGAGAATACGTACCGACTGTCAGTGTCTCCCGTGGGGCAGTGCGAGCATCCGAATACGGAAGTTGTGAAATCTGGTAGAGGCCAAACACTCCAGCCGCGAGGCAAAGCAGAAACGCAGCAATTGCGCGGTCGGGCAACGTCGCATCGCTCAAGGTCAGCGGCTTCTCTTTGGCTGCCAGCACCACAGCGCCGTGAATGTACTTGAGGGCACTGAGACACAGGAATAGGTAGATGACGGAATACATGCCAGCGACATCAAGAATGTGACCTGATTTAATTTCAATAAAGAGAATGAGGGAGTTTGTCAGCATTGTAGAATTAGCTTTGACAATCACACATGTGGCAGGCCGTACCTTCAAGGCAACGGCACGAGTGATTAGTAAAGGTTCCGACTGCATGCACAATGTTGATGACTCCAAACACAACGGAAAGAATGGGATTGGCGCGAATCAAGTTCAAGGGTCGCGCCTTGTTGACGGAAGAGGCTTGTGTCGTGCCACTGCAGTGTGTACAGAGTCAGCATGCAAGCCCATAAACCCCCAAAGCAGGCATTCGATCAATGGCACAGCTTTACCCGAGCGGATTCGCCTGTTGTGATTCCAATCCGTGCGAACGCAGGTGCTTGAGGTCTCGTGCGGCACACTGCGTACATGAAACAAGGTCAGAATCAATCGATGCATGTATGTACAGTAATGCCATGCACTTGATCTCGATCATCTCTTGTTCTGAGCATCATCTTACCGCAATCATGCAGATGCCAGCCGCCAAGAACGAAAAGTCTGTCAAAGGTGAGCAACCACAGCATTCATGCGAAACGCATTAGTACTGTATTCCCAGTTCTGCGTTCAATGCTCAATCTTGCGGGGGGGGGGATTGGATTCTTCCAATTTGGCGCATCGGTGTCTGGCGTTGAAACCATCGAACGAACGCCAAATTTGACCGAACCCCCCCCCCCAACCAACACCCGAAAGTAAACGTACCAGTGAACGCGTTGCTTGGTTCTCGCACAAATGCTCGCGAGCGATCCTGCATGTGACAAAAGCATCGGAAAAGCACAGCCTCGGCGCAGGTGAGTTGTTGCTGGGAGCGCTTCGATGCGAAATTTTGGAAATTCCTGGGTCGAAAATTTGGATTCGACGCTCTGACTTGCTTCTCCCCCCAGAAACAACCAACGTACCCGCTCGCACCATGGACCAGGGTCTTGTGTGTAGGAAGCCCAGAAGTTGGCGTCGCTCAAGGGACCCGTGGCTGCGTACACGACGAGACCGACAATCGCCAAGTAGACAAACGCGAGCAACGCATCAGCGTGGGCAATCACCGAATGCATGTCTGCTTGTTTTGTTTGAAAAGAAAGAAGATTGAAGGAAAACAAAAACAGGAGTGAGCATCAGATTGAATTCGTGCATTGCATTATTTTTTTGAATCTATTCAATAGAAGCGAGATGAATATTCTTCATTGCTGCAGCAATGGGGGGAAGCGGAGCGCCTTTCAAAATCAAGCTAGCTCCGCCACAATCCCAAACGATCACTTTTTTTTTTTTTTTTGTTTTTGTTTTTGTTTTTTTTTTTTTTTTTTCTTTTTTTTTCCCCCAACCATCCAACTCGACTCAACTGCTCGCGCCATGTCTGCACCCTCGCAGCGCCCTGGTGCCGAGGCTGAATACGCAGTGCCCATCTCGTCTGCAGCAGCAGCAGCGCGCCGAGCGACCGAGGCTGCTCCTGCTGCTGCTCCTGCTCCTGCTGCTAATGCTGGCGATGGATTGTACTCTGTGCCCCGACCGAGGCCGCAGCCAGGCACAAAGCCCGCGCTCGCCAGCCAATCCGCACCAGCATCATCGCCTTCATCTTCATTCGGCTCAGCACCAGCACTAGCAGGAGGCCAGCCGCAGGTGGCTCCGAAGCCTGCGGTTGGAGGGGGCGCTCGACCAGGGCTTGCACACTCGTCCTCGGCCGACCAACCGAGCCCAGCGCGCCCGCCCCCGCCGCAACAGCAACAGCAACAGCAGCAGCAGCAACAACAACAGCAACCTGGAGCCGCTGCCTCAGGCGCACCGCCGCCGATCGCCCCGCGTCCTGGCGCCGCTCGCATTGAAGTGGACGATGACCATGTCTACATGAACTGGGCTCGCGCGAGCGCATCTGGCGGCTCCCGCGCGCTGTCGCCGTCGTCGTCTGCAAGCGCATTGCCATCGGCGCCAGGTAGCGCTGCGCCAGTGATTCCGCCGCGGCGAGTCCCGGGCACCAGCTCGCCTGCTGCTCCAGCTGCTCCTCTTGCTCCTGCTGCTCCTGCTTCTACTGAAGTCTCGTCGCCTGCGCCGACCCCTGTGGTTCTCTCGGACGAAAGCGAAACGGATGATCCGCCGTGGTTCCATCACCAGCTTGGACGCAGTGATACGGAGCGGTTGCTCGGCGCGTGCGGCATCCACGGCGTCTTCCTTGTGCGTGGCTCGGAAACCACATCCAATGCCTACGTCCTTTGTGTCGGGTGAGTAATGCGCTTGTCTTGCGTTTGTTTGTTTTTGTTGCATCCTTCTTCCAGGGTTACTTTTGCATGCTTCTCTGTCTCGTCTTGTTTGATCGCGCCAAAGAGCAAAAACTTGTGCCCTTTTCCATTCGACGTTCGAGGGCTTCGTCTCACAATCTTTTTTTGCTCGACACGCTTTTTATGAACTGCCTGAGCTCATTCACAAATCCACAAGTGACATGCAACTCATCATCCCTCTGACGCTCTGCTCTGCTTTCCATTGGTTGTTTGCACCTGAACAGCACGCAAGACGGCCGCGTCACGCAATACCGCATTCTGCGCGATGCAAGCACCTCTCACTTTCACCTGGAACCAACCGACAATCACACCACGCCTCACTTTGAGACACTGAATGCACTGGTGCAGCACTACTCGATGGACGACGGCGGAATTGCTTGCACGTTGCGCTATCCATTCGAGCGCGCATTTGTGTACGACGTTACTCCGACATCGACGACAACATCAAGCCCGTACTCGGTGCCGGCACCCTCGCGCAACCCATTCCTTGCCTCCACGGCCCAGTCCTCAGCCTCCAAGGCACCTGCGCCTGCTCCGTCGGCTTCCACCACTGCCCTGCCGCGTGGCGATGCGCAAGAGCTCTGCTCTCTGACTTCGGTCTTCATGTCGCGGCTCGCAAAAGAGCAGACGACGTCGCTCAAGACCGATTCCGAGTTTGCCTTCATGCTGCGCCAGTACTTTGAGAACTTTATCTGCCAAGACGCCAACGCCGCCAAATCCGGCTCGACCGCGCGCCATGTGCGTGCCCTGCTCTGCACCGCGACCGATGCGTTTGAACAGGAGCTCGCAAAGTTCACCAAACGCGTGGAGGCTCTGCACAGGATTCTCACGGTCGACCCGACACAACCTCCCAGCGTCGACTCCACTGCTCCCACGTCTGCGGCGTCAGGAAGCTCTTCGCAGCCGTTCAACTCGACACCCACACCCACGTCCCCCACGAGTATCATGGACGATGATCGCGGCGAAGATTTCGAGGCAACGACGAGCTCTCTTCCAGTCTACTCTGGCATGGACACGAGTGGCTATGCTGACGAGTATGGCAACTTTGGCTCGCTCAACTCGCGGTTGTCGGCAGCGCGCGAGTTGGTATCTCGTACCGATCGTGCGATTGCCCTCACACTGCACGATCGAACCTGCCAGCACACCACCCGGTTGGATCAGGCTGCAGACATTCAACAGCTCAAGGTTTCGCAGGGGGTGTATGCCTTTGCCGTCACGCACATCAAGGCAGAAGGCGCCATTCGCAGCAAGGCTCAGCTGACCATCGATATGCTCAAGGGCACGTTGCTTCTGAACAAGAAAGTGTTTGAGCAAAACAACATTCTTCAGCTGATCAAGTCGCGGTCCGATAAGAAGCGTTTGGGCATCAAAGTGCATCTTTTGGGTCGAAAGGACTTTGCCTTCTCTGATGCAAAGGTGAGCAAGCAGCATCGAGCATCGTGGTGCTTGATAATGTTGCGTCCACTGTGTTGGTTTGTAACTCATGTTTGCATGCGTCGTAGACTCGAGAGCAATTCTGTCAGCTGATGCAACAACTGAAAAACATCCACTCTACTGCTGCGCCACGCCAGAAGAGCAAAGTCTCGGTCTATGTCGGCACCTGGAACTTGGGTAAAGCAGACAAAACCAAAAAAAAAAACAGACTTGCCAAAGCTGGCCCACCTGATGCTTGAATTTGGACTCGAAATCTCATGATGCTTCCTTAAAATCCACCTTGTTCTCAACAGGCAACGCAAAGCCACCAGAAGACCTGTCAACCTGGTTGAACTGCAACGCCTTGCCTGATTCAAATTTTTTCCACGACATTGTGGTGATTGGCACGCAAGAAGGGTCGGTCAAGGAAAACGAGTGGATTGCTCATCTGAAAAAGCACTTGGGCGGCGAGGACAAGTACGAGGTCGTCGCGGTTTGCAGCCAGTGGCAGATGCGTCTTGTTGTGCTCGTGCGTGCCATCTACATGCACAAAGTCAGTCACGTGCAGCAGTCGCATGTAGCCACAGGCATTGCAAACGCGCTCGGCAACAAGGGCGCGGTCGGAGTGTCGCTCTTCTTTGAGGGCACCTCGTTCTGCTTTGTCAACTCGCACTTGGCCTCTGGCTCCGAGAAGGTCGCACGCCGCAACGCGCAGTTCTACGAAATTATCAAAGGACTCAATCTTGGTCAGAAGGAGCTGACGGGCTTTGACATTGTCTCCCAGTTCCACCATCTCTTCTGGTTTGGCGATCTCAACTACCGCATCGATTTCGCGCCGCCACAGGTGCTTGAAATGATCTCCGCCCGTCAATGGGAGAAGCTTTTGATGCACGACCAGTTGCTTCGAGCCAAGCGCCAAGGCGCCGCCTTCCACGGATTTGGTATGGGGAGGGGGGGTTGTTTGTCTTGGGGGGTTGCTTTTTGTCCGTGCTTTGCATTTGTCTTTCCTTGTTGTGCTAACCTGCTCATGACACAAACAGAGGAGGCTCCTATCGCTTTCGCGCCGACGTATCGCTATGAGCGAGGAACGCGCGCAAACTACGACACGCAAAAGAAAACACGAACCAACACGCCGTCGTGGTGCGATCGTGTGCTGTGGCGCTCATTCCCCAACACCACCATGGAAGTGGTCAGCTACGGCTGCTCCAACAACATTGTGACGAGCGATCACTCGCCCGTGTTTTCGTCGTTTGCGGTTGGCCTCATCACCCAGTACCTGCCATCGTCCATGCACGCTGCCTCTCCCGAGAGCTTCCGCGTTGACTTTCACTCGCTCACTGTCAAGGTATGTTTGCTTTGGTTTTTTTTTTGGTTTTTTTTTCTTCTTTTTGTGTTTCTCAAGGAAGAATTTGGGGACATTCGCTCACCCACTCTCTGTTTTGGCCCTCCGACTTTGCTCCAACAGTTCAAAACACCCATTGCGACTGGGAAGCGCGATCGACCCCTTCGATTCACGCTCGAGTTCCACGGTCTCTGCTTGGAGAATCCCGTCAAGACGCGCCCGAACAGGTTGTGGGCGAGCGACCGCGACCGGCGCCACTCCACGCTGAACAACCTAGAGGTCTCGCCCATGTGGACGCGCAGCGATTTCCCGGAAATTACGCCGATTTCGTCCGAGCGGGGCTACCTTGAGACCCAGTACCTGCTCATGACAGTCAAGCAGGTCGACACGGACGAGTCGCTGGGCGAGTGTGCCATTTCGCTGCTCTTCCTGTTTAGCGACAACCCCGTCCCGCTCTCCTGTGACCTCCTTCATCGCGGAGAGCTGACTGGTACCCTTACGGGCGATGCCTCCGTCAGGTTGCACGACTTCAGTCAAAAGGGCAACTCTGACGGTGACGACGTGTCTGTGCTCAGTTCGTCGTCTTCGGTCCGCGTTGTTGGGCGACACCAGGCCATGCCATGGCGCAGTTCCATCAGCCAGGCGCTCCCTCCGGCCATCGCCAACAGCAGCAGCTCGCACTCGCCGCTCAAGCCTCCGGCGACATCGAATGCAAACCGCCGCAGCTGGGCTGGAACTCCCGCCGATGCTGCTCCCGCGCAGCCCAGTGCGACTGCAGGCCCCGCCGGTGCTGCTCCAAGCGAGTACGCCGTGCCAACCAGCACGAAACGCAGTGCACCGGCGCCTGTCGCTCCAGTGTCCATGCCCGCCTCGGCCATCTATGGAAATGTGGTCCCACGGGCTGCGGCTGCCTCCTCGCCCGATCAGCAGCCCGGTGCAGCAGCAATTTATGCAAACACCTCATCGCTTGCTTCCCGTCGGACCGACGCAGCCAACACGCAGCCATCCGAATACGCCACTCCCGCATCCTCGCGCTCGCAGCAGCATGCGCGCGAGCTGTCTCAGCTGCAGGAGCTCGTTGGAGAGGGCTTCAGCACGGACGACGGTCTACGCGCGCTGAAAATGCACAACTTCAACGTCGAGCGCGCCGCCGAGTGGTTGGTTGAGAACAGCCTCGACCACCAGCACCCGACAGCCGCTTCCCCTTCAAACGAGTACGCCGCTCCTCGGGCCCAAACCAGCGCCGTCGTGGCACCTGTCGTTCTGGAGCCCTTCCTGAAGAACGACCGACGCCAGTCCAGGAATGTGCACGCCGAGCTCCAGCACTCCTTGACCGAGCTGCAAATGCTTCGAAACGCCCCACCTCCTCCTGCCGCTGTTTCCGTGACTGCTGCAGCGCCCGAGGTTGTTGCCGTTTCAGAAGCCCAGCCTACCACCACCACCACCGCCACCACCACCCCCACAGATGCAAGCGAAAGCGCCCCACAGCCGGCTGTGACGGACGCTGAGACCACTTTGTCGGTGCCTGATCCAGCACCTGCAGAGGTTGTGGTGAAACCGGCGAGCTCTGGAGATTTCAATGAGACAGAACGGATTGCGCCGACACCAGAAAATGCTGTCGCTTCGGAATCCACCGCCTCCTCTTCCATCACCACCACCTCCTCCTCCTCCTCCTCTGCCGTCGCTGAAGCACCAGAGCTTTCTTCTCTCGTCGCACCTGTTGCTGCCGAGTCTGCTTTGCCGAGAGCTGTAGCCAAGCCGTCGCCTCCAGCAGCGCTCAAACCCAAGCCCGCAAAGCCCGCTCGCCCCCAGAGCGTGATTAAGGTAGACAGCTCTGTTGCCGCTGCAGCGACTGTTCCTGCATCCGATCCCGAACCCAGTTCGGCAAAGCGCGATGGCCAGGCCGAGAGCACCGCTGAATCCTTCCAGATTTCCTCTGCGGTACAAGCTGCAGAATCAACTACTGCTCCGGAACCCTCCCAGCCAGCTGTTGCGAGTGTGCTTGCGGGTCAAGCTGCCGCCGCGACTCCTGCTGTGCGTTCTTCTCTTGACGATCTGACTGCATCGATGGAATGGGACGATAGTATCGACGCAGCCTTGTCGCAGACCTTGTCGGACGCTTCGGCGCTTGCGAGTGCGCACCATGTCAAGGACGAGCGCAAGCTGAGCGACATTCACGCCGAGAAGCACCGAACCATCTCTGTCTTGCTCAAGGCGAACAAACCTCCAGCTTCGTTGCACGACTTTTTGGTCCGAGTTCATCTTCAACACCTGGAATCCACTTTTGTAACACATGGCTTTGATGACTTGTCCGTCCTCCGCCAACTCGAAGAAGAGGATTTGGACCAAATGGCCATTACTGACGCGGCGACACGTGCTGCGCTGATGCAGCAAGTGATAACATGGCGCGAAAGCTTTTGCTAGAGTGAGCAAAAGCTCTCTTTTTTTTTTGGCATATTGTTTGCTGTTCGATTTGTTTATTCATTTTGTAGTAGTGTTTGTGTTTGTTTCGCGTTCTGTCGTGCTGCTCTGTTGGTTTTGTTTGGTTTGACAGTTCCGTCCTTCTGGTGCGGGCTGCTCGTGTGCAAACCGTGTTTTTTTTTGTGACGTTGTCAATAGTTGGCCAACATGTTTGCAATTCTTGACCGCTTGCACTTCACGACAACACATTGCTTCAACGTTCATTGGTGCTGAAAGCAGCGTTTTTCTTCTTCTTGGCCCGCCGGGAGCCCGTTCCGGGTACCTGCGGAGGCGGAAACCCGCGCCCGTAGACGTTAAACATGCCTAAAGTCATGTCGGGGGCCAAGTGGGTGAGGCGTCACAGGTTGTTGAGTGAGCAAATGATGCTGCTGACAGATTCTCAAACCTGGTTTTCACAAAAAAAAAAAAAAAAAAGCACGCACTCACCTTGCGAAACCCTCGCTCGCTGTCCAGCCTTCCCTTTCCCTTGAGAGAAGGAAGAGTCGTCAAACTCATCGTCAAAGTCGTATTCGTCTTCTGCTGGCAGCTCGGCAGTCGAGGCATCGTCCGCAGATACCCGCAGGCAATACTCGGACTGGGTGATACCCAGCCACCGTGCCTTGACCAGAAGACACGCGAGGTTTGGCATACGTTGAGCGTTGAATGCACCGTCGAGCCCAAAGTGGGTTGAGACTGTCGCGCCAATTTCAATGAATGAGAGTTGGCGGGCAACAGAAGCGCGCGAACGCAATGTTGATGATATTTTTTACCATGCGAAAACTCGGTCTTGCAGAGCGGGCAGCACGATCGGACTGTCGACCACGTTAATACACAGCGAATGCTGTATGATAACAGAGATGATGATGCAGTCAGCGATTCATGCAACGACACAAGCGACAGCAGAAGCGCAGCAACAAACACGCCTCACCAGAATTCATGGAGGCAGGGCGGGAGCTGGGCCTTGGACTCGTCAAACATATCTTCCAGGCAGATGGCGCACACATTCTCGCCAAGCTCTGTGAGCATGGCCGCAGCGTCCTGAGTGCTTGCGAGGGCCACCGCGGCCATCATGGCACTTGTGTCATCAAGTTTCGCATTGAAGGCGTTGGCGTCGTCGAACTCGTCGGCAGCACGGCCGTCGTAGTCGTCCGCGTCCTCGTAGTGGTCGTCGAATTCCTCGTCATCATACGTGTCACTGTCGTCCAGTCGCAGCCTTGGGGCCTGGCTGCGTGCGGACGAGTGCGACGAATGCACTGCTGCAGGACCGGCACGTGCGCTTGAAGAGTGCCCCGCCGCCGACACGACTCTCGACGCCAGCTTCTCGCCGCCGCCCCGGGCCTTGCTCTGCGTGGCGTGCTTCGACATGGCTCTGGGCGACCTCGTTTAAGCAAAGGTTTTTCAGTTCAACAGAATCAAGGCAAACGAAGCTGCCAAAATTCGATTGTTGCGCAATGTTTGAAGTTTTGGCCGCTCTCTTTTTGTTCTGCTTCGAGTTGTTGCTTTTGCGTTCCTTCAACAGCGATTGAACGCGACGCCGAAGCGAACGAACAAGACTGGGCTCGAATTGTGCTTGGTTTTTCAATAGAGCGAAACACGAAGAAAAAAAAGAAAGGAAAAACAGAAAGCAACACGACGAGAAACAACTCAAATACGCCGAAAAAGCGACCGTTCAAACTGAAGGAGGTGAGAAAATTTCACACTGAATGCATTGTACTAGTATCAATGGCAGAATTGTGTTTGGAACACCAAGAAATTACAAAAACACACACAGAAACAAAAACCACAAGAAGTGCAGTGCGGCTTTAGGCGGTGGCAACAAACTTTTGCTTGGGCTTCTTGGCGAGCTCGTCCGAAACCTGCATCCCAACAAAGGCACAACGTGTAAGTCGTTGTTCCCACACAATGCATGCACATATACACACAAGACGCGGCATCACGATGAAAAAAATGCGGCGTACAGCGTAAGCAAGAGCGGCACGGAGATCCTCAACCAAGTCCTCCTCATCCTCAATGCCGACAGACAGGCGGATGAGCGTGTCCGAAATGCCGAGCTTGGCGCGCTCCTCGGCGCTGACACTGGCGTGGGTCATGATGGCGCTACAATTGCAAGGCGCGGCTTCAAAGTCAGAACACACACACATCGCACCAAGCAGAAATGATTCACCCCAAAAAGGCTTGCGAAAACAAACAACACGTACGGAAGCTCGGCCAAGCTCTCAACAGCGCCAAGACTCTCGGCAAGGGTAAACAGGTGGATCTTCTCAAAGAACTTCTTGGAAGTGGTCATGTCGCCCTTGATGCGGAAGCTGACAACGCCAGTGTAGCCAGAGCATTGACGGTTGGCGAGCTCGTGCTGGGGGTGGGAAGGAAGACCTGTTGTTGTACGACGAGAGCAGTGGGAGGAGGAGGTGTGGCGCAAAATGAGTTGCGCTCTCCTCTCGATCGACAAAAACAATGCAGCAACCAACAACCGAAAAAAAAAACCGGAACGGTGCTCACCAGGGTAGATAACTTCATCGACGCGGTCCGAGTTTTCGAGGAACTTGGCGATGGCGAGCGCGTTGCTCATGTGTGCCTTCATGCGCACAGCAAGCGTCTTGACACCACGAAGAGCGAGGTAGCAGTCGAACGGCGAGGGGACACCGCCAATCGCTGCAAAAGACAGACCGCGCGAACACATGCACAGAGACATGTAGAGAATAAGCACATCAATCAACGCAAGCAACCGACAAACGCGCAGTGCGTACAGTTCTGGTAGTAGCGAAGACGCTCGGCAATAGCATCGTCGCGGCAGCAGACAACGCCAAAGACAGCATCAGAGTGGCCGTTCATGTACTTGGTGACAGAGTGCATGACAATGTCCGCGCCAAGAGTGAGCGGGCGTTGGAAGTACGACGACATGAAGGTGTTGTCGACAACAACGATAATGCCAGCGTGTTCGTGGACAATCTTAGAGACGGCAGCAATGTCGACCAGCTTGAGGGTGGGGTTGGTGGGGCTCTCAATCCAGACGAGCTAGGCAGACCGGCAAAAGGAAAAGAAAAAAAAACAGAGAAGAAAGTTGGATGTCGAGCACAACACAGCTCGTGGCCGGACAATACAATCACAAAACGTTGCGCACAAACCTTGGTGTTTGGCTTGATGGCCGCGCGAAGAGCCTGCTCGTTGTTGAGGTCGACCATCGAGACCTGGATGCCGTCGCGGGTGGCAACCTTGTTAAAGTAGCGGTTGGTGCCACCATAGACGTCGTTCATGCAGATGAGGTGGTCGCCGGCCGCGAGGAGGTGGGTGATGGTAGCGGTGGCCGCAAGACCAGACGAGAAAGCAAAGCCTGGCAAAAACAATTCATTTGCAAGAACATATTGACATGAGTGTTTTTAAGCATGACAAGCGTGCGGGGAGCAAGAGCGAAAAAACGCGTTAGTCGTTGGGTTGGTGTCCAAAACCAAACCCAATAACTAAAACCACCATCCGTTCCGCTCACACCAAGCCCCTGTTCTTACCGTGGTTGGCGACCTCGAGCTTGGCAATGCACGCCTCGTACGCGTTGCGAGTCGGGTTGCCACTGCGCGAGTACTCGAATCCCTGTCCAAGCAGCACAAGTGAGTTCACACCCCATAACCCTGCCCTTGTTCGCGCTCAGCGCCACCCCACACATGCAGCCACACGCAATGCACCCATCTCTGCACTGATACGCAATCAAACACAATGCCCTCCTCTCCTCTTTCATGATGGACCTCTGGCCTCATTGTCGCATGTGGTCGGTTTGAGCACTGTGACCCATTCCCTTCCCTCGCCCCCCCCCCCAAAGACCAGCCGCCTCTCTTCCCACCTCGTCCACATCACCATTCGACTCGCTTGGTGCAAAAATGCGTATTTGCTGTTTCAAAACCCCGGTACCCTTCTGGGTCAACAAGTAGGAACGGTCACCGACCGAATTGAAACGGATTCAACGCGATTTTGCCCCCACTTCTCACTCACTGACTCACTCACTCTCACTCTTCCGCCACCACGCAAACACAAACACAGAGCCGCACTACTTTTTGCACTGCCAGCTTCAAACGCAGCAATGACAGCGCAATAAGAAGAAGGGAATAAGAAGAAGGGAGCCAACGAATAAAATAAAATAAAAAGGCCCACGAGACTTGCTCAACGGAGGTCACGGTCATTGCAATAGGATTTGCATTGAGGAGGTCAGACTTGGTCGTGCTCCAGCAAAACGCGTTAAGATGGATGTGATTTGGCTTTATTGTTCTATAGTGGAGTGGAGTTGGAGTGGAGTTGGAGTTGGAGTTGGAGAGCGCTTACGCGGTGCTGGGCAGGGGCGTCCTGCTTGTAGGTCGTCGCGAGGCTGAGCGGCACAACGACGGCGCCAGTCACAGAGTCGGCTTCCTGGCCAGCGTGGATGGCGTCCGTAGCAAAGTGCTTGAAGGGAGCAAGTGGAGTGGTGGACATGTTTGCTGGTGTTGGTTTGTGTTGTTGAATGTATCAAGACTGAACTTGAACTCACTGAGCAAACAAAACGTCGGAGAACGGAGACTTTTCTGAGTTTAATCTCCGCTGTCCATCCGTCCATGGCATCCATTTTGGTTGTTTAGATTCAGATTGGTGGAAAACCAAAGCCAAGCCAAGCAAACGAGAGTTGTGCGAATTTTGCAATTGTAAACGTCCGGATCCTCTCAATCTCTCTCTCTCTCTCAATCTCTCTCTCCTTCATAGACCTCTCCCATCCATCGCTCTCTTGAACAGAGTACTGTACCAAAATTACTAAAAACTCACTCACGCCACTAAATCAACTTTGAGCACAATATGCGCGTTGCGATCGCTCTGCTGGCTGCGAGTGCGCTTTGCGTCGCGTTCGCTGCGCACTACGCCGTGGGCTACGCCGCAGGTCCTCAGGCCACCCCTGACGGCGCGCTCGGCCGTGGCTTTGGCGACAAGTACGCGTGGTACAAGCTGGACGCCGGCATTCGCCTGATCGCAGACACGGGGCGTCCGGGCATGATTGTCGTGCACAAGTCGTGGTGCGGCGCTTGCAAGAGCCTCGGCCCCGTGTTCGCGGCAGCCAAGCCAGTCCTCGACGAGGCGCACAACTTTGTCATGATCAACGTCTTTGACGACGAGGAGCCCAGCACGCCCGACTTTGGACCCGGTAAGGGAGCAAGCAAGCAAACAAGCAACGATGCATATGGATTTTGCTATGTATCTCAGACTCGCATTTTCTATTCCCGTGGGAATTGTAAACCCCCCCCCCCTTCTAACACTTTGGAATATATTCTCCCGTCTCCTCAAAACAAAACAAAAAAAAAAAAAAAAACTCGGGCCATCGGGACGCTCGCACAGACGGCAAGTACATTCCGCGCATCATGTTCACGGACGGCCGTGGTCGCATTCGCACAGAAATCACCAGCCCAAACCCAAAGTACAAGTACTTTTATGCCCAGCCGAACGACATTGTCAACTCGATGCACGCCGCCCTGGCCTTGGCCAACAATCTCAAGAACGCTGCGGAACAAGTCGCTGAGCCCGCCACTCACGAGCACTCTGGTCATGCCGAGCTTTAAGTCTATTTGGGTGAATGTGTGTGTGTGTACGTATGTGTGTGTGTGGGTGTGTGCAGTGGTTGTTGTTTCGGTGATTTTGAAACTCTTGAAAATCGCATGTTGTATTTATCCAATATGCACCACTTTCAGCGCAAATACTGTAACTTGTTGGACGCTGCTTTAGGAGATGTCGCCAGTTTCATCCTCGTCCGCGTCGTCGTTGCCGTCGCCGTCGTCGTCGTCCTCGTCGCCATCTTCATCAGCTTCAACATCGTCAGAGTCCTCGTCAGCCTCGTCCTGAATTTCATCGTCGTCGTCGTCGTCGCCGTCCTCGTCGTCATACTCGAGGTCTTCCTCGTCACTCGCGTCCATTTCGCGGTCAATGTCGTCCTGACCAGCGGCGTCAGTGACATCGGCGCGCAAGGGGACGTCCATGCCAAGGATTTCATCGCGAATGTCCATCAAAAGACAGCCGAGAATGTTCTTGCCGCCAGACGGACAATCTCGCTTCCAGCCTCCACGAGGGATGCGCCCGGCAGGAACAGCCCAAATTCGATCGCTGATGCTCACATGCACCAACGTGGACTTGCCCGTCATCAACAGCACCTCGCGCACGGCCAGGTTTTGGGCGACCTTGGCCTCCAGCCCTCGTCGCATGATGCTGACTTTGATCTCTTCCCAGTCGGTACGCAGCGGGTGTGCCGCATAAGTTGCGCGGCCCAATCGCTGGGCCTGCTCTGCAGTTGCCGCCGCCCGAACTGTCTCTTCCACGGGGGTGTTGTGGTATTTTTGGGCCTGGAAAAAGTGAATCACGCTCGGCCACATCTTGCCATCGAGCAGAATAGGCGCTGGGTAGAACCCTGAAAGTGGGCCGACAATGGGATCGGTCTGATCGCGGAATTGGATTTGGGGCTCCAAGATCTCGTGCTTGAGATGAATTTCAAGCGAAGAATCGTGCCGGAGGGGTGCCGCGAGTGCTTGAAACAGCTTGTTGAATTCGATCGCAAGCTTGCTGGTAATGGCAGGGCAGCGGCGAACGTCCACCAGCTGCAAGCGACTTCCAGATGGCGGCAGCACTTTGGGAATGTCGCCAAAAGCCTCGTCACTGGCCACAGAAGTGGGCTTTGACTTGCGCTTGTTGTTTCCGGCGCGCCCGGCAATGTAGTCAGCAAGATGCTCGAGGCTTGCAACGGTGAGATGCTTCACGCCAGCCAGCACAAACGTTTCGAGCCCCGGAATGTTTCGCGTCAACAGCCGCACGCATGCGTCCGTGAGGTACGTGCAGTCCGAGAAGTCTAGCGTGGTCAGGTTCACAAGCCGCGGGGCTAGGAATTCGATCAGATTGGGCGTGGCCAAGTACGAACAGCCGGCCAGAGACAAGTGCGCAAGATTTGGGCAGCTTTTGGCCAGTTGCTTCATGTTGCCCTCCGTGACATACACGTTGGAAAAGTCAATCGACTCGAGGCCACGCACCAGCAGCACCTTGAGCGCAGATCCGACAAACTTGCCTCGCGCGCGCAAGCCGGAAATGATTTGCTGCAGAACGTGGTTGTCTGGAAAGCCTTCCAGGTCGTAGAGCGGCAGGTTGTTGCACACAACGTTCACGCACATGTCTGACAATGTCTTGACGGGCACGGGTTCTCCGGGGATTGGCGGGAGGTTTTCCTGTGTCAGTCGTAGCGTTGAGTTTTGAGTGCCGTCGGGATTTTTGCAAGTCAAAATTTGAGTGAATCTTTACCAGGGAGATCGAATGTCCGTACTTTGCTCGAATATACTCAATGTTGTTGACCTGGATGATTTCAAAGCGCGGGATGGCAAGTCGCCCTGCGCTCATGGATGTTTGCACAGTGCTGCGAATGTCCCTCTCGGTCCACGCGTCCATCTGCCGCGCCTCGACCAACTCTTGCAGCGGCACAAACCCTGTTTCATATATACATAATAGAACGTGTAAGGTTGAGTGAGTGTGTGGGACTCCACCAAGTGTTGACTTGACTGTCCCGATGACGAAATCGCGCTGTCATGTCATGCCACTCGAAGATGCAATGCTCCTGACCTGATCGATAGAACGTGTGGCCTGGGTAGGATGGGTGTCTGAGAAGATAGCTCATTCGGATGCTGAGCGGTTTCAGCAGGTCGTCGGTCATTGTGGAGTGAGTTACGCTGTGCTAACGAAAATTGTGATGAATTGGCGGGAAAACCAAAAGTAGAAGTGCAGAGACAAAAAGGACTGAAGCGACGACAAATGTAATGTAATGTAGTGTAAATGCAATTCGAGTCGAGCCTCATAGGAACGCGACTGGAACCATAGCCGAGAGAGACAGAGAGATAGAACGATAGAGAAAGAAACGAACGATCGTATGGCACTGTATTGCTCAAGCGCGCTTTCCACCGGAAACACGAACAACCCAGGTCGCTTGGAGGCGAGAGACAATCTCCTTCTTGGAGTCGAGGACATTGACTTGGATGACGAGCGACTCGTCGACCGGCTTGCCGGCCTGGGCGCTGGACGCCATCGATTCGACCTGGCGTACTTGCTCGGGGGTGAGCTGCGCGTGGCACGAGATGACGCCGCGCGCCTTGCGATCGTAGGCAACGCTAATGTTGGTGACAATGACGCGGCCGCCAAAGTGCTCGGTGGCGCGGGTGGCGAGCAGGCCGCTCGCGAGCTCGGCGGCGTTCGCGATTGCCAGCGCGTGGATGCTGGTGAACGGGTTGCGGAGCCACGGGCGCTCGGTCAGCTGGACGAGCGTCTCTGTGGCGTCCACTTGAGCAATGAACGGCGACACGGAGCCAGTGTACGTCGAGAGGATGCCCATCAGCGTGGAAATCAGCTCCCTGCCCAACGGCTGCTTGTGCACGGCGCCCCACAGCGACTCGAGGAACCTGCGCTTGGCTGCAACAACGCCAAAGTTTCAGTTCAGTTCAATCAGTTCAGTTCAGTTCAATCAGTTTCATCAGTCAGTCACAGTCTCGGAACGTTTCACGTGTGAGAGGTGGTCGTCGGAGATTGATCCGATTTTGGGAAGGCAAGCCAACACAGGCCCCATCATCCTCACCTTTGCCAGACAGAGCCCATGCGACGAGTGCGGGCGTGTTGATGACGAGTGCAACAATAAACTGGAGCACGCCAAACACCAAGAACAGGGGGTACAGCACGGCAGTCGCGGCAACGTCCGTCACTGTCATTTTTTTTTTTTGCAAATGCGGAATCGAACAAAGACTGGCTTGGTTGGTCTTCTTCTTTATTCCTACTATACTTTTTTCCAGTGCAATCCGAAGTGTGAATGTCCAATGCCAGTGTTTCATGCATTGTCCAACGATCGAGTCTGAAATCTGCCTTTGAAAACCTTGAAATCTGTGCAGAATTGTCCAATTGGTACAGTACCAATTGGTGCTTCATCCCTACAGTATTTCAATCCATCCTAGTAAGTTTTTTGCAGTCCTCCAATTTTTTTTTCACCCACAGTTTCCTCACAAACAACCATGCTGCGCGCTGCCATGACTGGTGCCGCGCGTTCGCTCGCTCGGTAACCAACACTCAAAACCCAAAACCAAAACCAAAACCAAAACCAAACCCTTCCCCTCTCTCTCGCTCGCTCGCTCGCTTCTTCGCTCTTCGTCCTCCCAGCGCCGCTCCTTACTCGACGATCGTTCCTCCTTGTCATTGCATTGCATTGAGATCTCCTTCCACCACCTCGTCCTGCTTGCTCCTCACTTCACTGTGGTTTTCTTTCTTCTTTTTTTTTTTTTTTTTTTTAAGCAGCAACGCCGCTTCCGTTCAGCCCGCCCGCACCTTCACGATCGCCGCCGTCGCGTCTGCAGGCTCGTCCTCGTCTGCTGCTGCTGCACATGACGATGAGGAAGGCGGCTCGTTCGCCCGCGGCCTGTTCTCTGGTCGCATCCGCGAGTCCCAGGCAAGTACAACAAACATAAAGCAAAAAAAAAAAAAAAAAAAAAAAAAAAAAAAAACCGCGAATTTCGCTCTTTTCTTCTGTTTTGTTGGTTTGATCTTCTTTTCCTTTCGCTTTCGCTTCGAATCCACTTTGATTCGATCGCTGCGTCATTTCTTTCATTTGATCGCTCGTTTCGCTTTGATTGCCAATCTTCGACATTCAAAAAGGAAGGGAAAACATTTTCAAAAGTCAGATGTCGTTCTAAACACGTGAAAAACGACGAAACAAACAAAAAAAAAAAAAAACAAAAAAAAAAACAGATTATTTGATAATGATTTTATTCTATGATGATTGAATGAACGCTTCGCTCGTCAATCAGCAGAGAAGATTGATCGCTTGTGAGTGAGTGAGTGAGTGAGTGAGTGAGGATTGAATCAGACACAAATCCGATGATGGAGCGAGTTGGATGGATCGGATCATCACAAAAACGGGGCTTACAACTGAGGACAAACATTATCACTTCAGTTGCTCAGTCAAATCACAAACCCCGACCTGAGAACCGGAGACGACCGGTGTCCCAAACACGAATGACATGACTCGTTCGTTGGCTTTGTTGCTTTGTTGTTGTTGTTGCTCCCGTCGCTCATTCAAAGTCTGTTTTCCTACTGCTTGTATTGCGCACAACACACAGGTCTTCCCGTTCCCCGCTGCAACCATCCTCAACGAGGAGGCCAAGTCCACTCTCCAGATGCTCGTCGACCCTTGCGCCAAGTTCTTTGAGGTGAGCCATTCCCCCTTTAGCACCCCCAGATCAGATCTGATCGCAGAACAGATGATTGGCTCACCACACTCGTATTTGCCATTCCAGACCGTCAACGACCCCGCCAAGAACGACGAAACCGCCTCCATCTCCAAGGAGGCATGGGATGGGTTGAAGGAGATGGGCGCGTTCGGCCTGCAGGTGCCCGAGGAGCTCGGCGGATTGGGCCTCACCAACACTGGCTACGCCCGCCTGGTCGAGATTGTCGGCATGCACGATCTCGGTGTCGGCATTGCTCTCGGCGCTCACCAGTCGATCGGCTTCAAGGGCATCACCCTGTTTGGCACCAAGGAGCAGAAGGCAAAGTACCTGCCCAAGCTCGCTGCCGGCGAGAACATTGCCGCCTTTGCGCTGACAGAGCCCAGCTCTGGCTCGGACGCCAACTCCATCCGCTCGCGCGCCAAGCTGTCGGCCGACGGCAAGCACTGGGTCTTGAACGGCTCCAAGATCTGGATTTCCAACGGCGGCATTGCCGAGATTTTCACCGTCTTTGCACAGACCCAGGTCCCCGATCGCAAGACTGGCGAGCTCAAGGACAAGGTCACTGCCTTTATCGTCGAGCGCTCGTTCGGCGGCCTCACCAACGGCAAGCCCGAGAACAAGATGGGCATCAAGTGCTCCAACACTGCCGAAGTCTATTTCGACGACGTCAAGATTCCCGTCGAGAACGTCCTCGGCCAAGTCGGCGAGGGTTTCAAGGTTGCCATGGCCATCCTGAACAATGGTCGCTTTGGTATGAGGTTGAGAGTGGAGAGCTGATGGCCAGGGCATTCGTGCATTTATAGTTGTTTGTTTGTGTGCGTTCAACCGCTAATTTCTTTTTGTTTCCCCCACCCCACCCCCACACTTCTCCTCTCACCAGGCATGGGCGCTGCTCTGTCGGGCACCATGAAGGCCATGCTCGCCAAGTCTGCTGAGCACGCCATCAACCGCACCCAGTTCGGCTCCAAGATTAAGGAGTTTGGCATGATCAAGGAAAAGTTTGCCCAGATGGCACTCAAGATTTACGCCACCGAATCGATGGCCTACACGCTCGCCGCCAACATGGACCGCGGCTCGAACGACTACCAAATCGAGGCTGCCATCAGCAAGGTTTTCGCCTCCGAGGCTGCGTGGTCTGTGGCCGATGAGGCCCTGCAGGTGATGGGCGGCATTGGCTTCATGAAGGCCGCCGGCTTTGAGCGCGTCGTGCGCGACTTGCGCATCTTCAGGATCTTTGAGGGTGCCAACGAAATTCTGCGCATGTTCATTGCGCTCACCGGCATTCAAGACGCCGGCAAGGATCTCAAGGAGGTCCAGGCCGCGCTCAAGAGCCCCATTTCCAACTTTGGCGTTCTTTCCCAGGAGGCCACCAAGCGCATCAAGCGCATTGTCGGCGTTGGCCACGACACCATCAAGGGCGTGCACCCGCTGCTCCGTGGCCCCGCCGGCCTTGTCGAGTCCCAGGCCACTGCCTTCGGCGCCGCCGTTGACTCGCTGCTGATCACCCACGGCCGCAAGATCATCGACCAGCAACTCAAGCTCAAGCGTGTTGCCGATGCTGCCATTGACCTGTACGCCTCTGTTGCCGTGCTCTCGCGCGCCACCCACGCCCTCAACTCTGGCGCCGCAACCGCCGACCAGGAGGTGCTGCTTGCCACCACCTTCTGCGAGGATGCCCACCGCCGCATTCGCCGCAACATTGCCAGCTTGAACGGCAAGACCACCGACGGCAGCTACGCCCGCATTGCCGACAGCATCTTTGAGAAGGGCTCGTACGACATTTCCCACCCTATTGGTTTCTAATAGCTCGGTTGTTGCCTTATTTCTCTTGTCCTGTGCACTTTCATTGTGATGAACTCCCCCCCCCCTCCCCTTTTGCATTCAACATGCACACTTAAATATCAAATCCCTTGTCAAACAAAACAAACGGTTCACTTTTTCTTTTTCTTTGCTTTTTTCTCCTTTCTTCCCCATTTCTCAGTGACGCGCTCGATTTCTCCCTTTTCTCTCGCCTTTCCCTTCTTCCCTCTCTCTCTCTCTCTATATATATATCTCTCTTTCCCGCCCATGGACGAGCGCGAACCCCAGCGTCGAAACCTGCTCCACGCTGTCAAGCTGGCCGTGCAGGGCGTGCTGGGCGACGCGCTCAACCACCCGGAGACGCTCTCGACCTACCGACCCGACGCCATCCAGCTCAACCTGCGTACGTCGATGCCTACTATCGCCCCAACCAAGAGCTGAGTACCTTGTCGCTCGCACATGGGCATTTGGGGTCCGTGAAAATCGAGTGCTCCGGGCATCGACCACTTTGGCGACTCTGGGGTGGCTCCATTGGCCGTCCGTGGTGGAACGACTCGTGATTGATGCTTTGAGAGAATCGGACTGGACTACTTACAACAGTCTAGACGCGAGGGTGGTTTTGGTTTTTGGAAGCGGGGGGGTTGCGGGAACAGACCAAGCTGGGCTAACTCAATGTGACCGACCAAGCAAGCAGACGAGGGTTGACGCTGCCTCAGTTAACTCCCGCTCGTCTTCCCCCATCTCTGAGAGTCCGTCTTGCCCCATGCTCAGAATGGAGAGCAGAGTGTGCGCCATTCGATCGAAAATGAGCGGGACTGTTTGCGTTTTGAATGGTCCGCCAATCAGCTTTCCCCCGCCTCGCATCACCTCACATCGCACACATGTATCGCATATCACGCATCACATCACTGATGGCGTCAATGTTGCTGCGACGAGTTTGGTTCAATGCCAGTTCACTTACCCTTGCGTTGGATTTTTTTTTTTTAGTCTGCTCCGACCTCGAGAAAATCTTATACTATGGTCTTCGCGTAAGCGTTGGAACTTTGCAATGGTTGCTTTTTTTTTTTTGGGATTCAAGTTGATTGTCTGTGGATCTAACGGCCGTGCTGCGTTTAGGACTCTGCGGGCATGTGGCAAGGCAATCGCACGTTCTGGATGTTTATTGAAGGTCTTGAATGGTTGAACAAGGCTCAGTCGGTTTCGCTATCCAAGTTAGTGCACGATGTTGTTGTTGTTGTTGTTGTTCGATGGCTGTTACTGCATTTGAGGAGAAGATGCAAGTGCTCACGTTATGATCAACGCAGCATTCGCCTGTACGGAGACGACAGCATCACACGCCAACGCGCCTGGCTGCGGCAGGCTGTCATTTACAAGAAGTTTGTGGAGCATATTGTCATTCTAACGGGCCATCGCACACACCGTACGACATGAGATTCAACCACTGTCGCTTGCGTCATGAAAGGTTTCGACGTTTTCTCACTTTAGTTGTTTTCTCTCTCTCTCTCTCTCTCTCTCTCTCTCTCTCTCTCTCTCTCTCTCTCTCTCTCTCTCTCTCTCTCTCTCTCTCTCTCTCTCTCTCTCTCTCTCTCTCTGGTTCCTTTCGTCCTCCCCAAAAACGTTGCAGTCAAACAATACTACCATCAGTGGGCTATTCTATGCAGCGATGAATGCGTTCAGGTTCTTGCTTCGATGATGCTTCCTCTGGACCGCATCAATCTCGTCGAGGTCGACCGCAAACCCAACGCGCAGCCGGCCCCTCCAGCTGTTGCTGGTCGCCCGCCAAACACTCCGCAGCCTTCAGAACACGACGTGGCCGTTCGTGCTGTGATTGCGCAGGACCTGGCCAACTCTGCACCGGTTAGCGCAGCAGTCTCGGCGCCCACGGCGGAAAAGAAGAAAAAGTCCAAGGTGAAAAAGAACGTTGCCGTGGTGGAAGGCTTTGCAGGCCAGGGAGAAACCAGCACCACGTCGTCAACGACCAATGGCATTCTGACGGCGCTTAAATCAAAGCAACCTGCCGCCGAGGATTCCGACAAACCCGCTCAGCGACGATCTAGCACGAGCATTGCCATCAGCCATGCAAGCGCAGGATCGGGTGCAAGTCTCTCCACTTTGGAAGGCGTGGCTCAGAGCGCGCCAGCCGTTACTAACGATCAAACAAACAGTGCCAAGCGTCTCAGTGCCGGCACGTCTGACGATTTGCTTCAATCTGTGCTCGATCAACATGCCAGCGCCACTCGCCCCAGCACCAGCACCAGTAGCAGTAGCAGCCAGCCGAGCTCGTTTATCCCGCAGGCGCAATCCACCTCGCCTAGTTTGCAAACGTCGCACACGACACCTGTCACTGCGGCAGCAATAACTCCAGCGACGCACTCTGCGCCAGCCCAACACCAGACATCCTCCAATGCGTCGTCCGCAACAGCCTCTCCAGTTTTAACAACAAAAACCCCAGAAAGGTTACTGGAGGAGGAGGCTCCGTATGGGTCGTTCTTTAGCACACAGGGCTTTGCTGCGTCGCAGCCGCAAGTGACGACTGGTCCAGCCGTAATTGCCTCGTCGCTGGCGGCGACACAATCCCCCAGGTCACCGCTCCGACCTCAGCACAGCCGTGCCGCCAGCTCATCCTCGGCACTCGATTTCATCCCGGGAGCACCAGCGGCCAAATCTGCGGCCACGATTGACTCGTCATCGCCGCGGGATCCAACTCGCTTTTTCAAAGGCCACTCCTTTGCAAACAGCGTCTTGTCGACAGATCAGGCGGGAATCATTGCCACGGGAGAGTTTGCACGGCAAGGCGACGGTTTGCGGGGCGAGCCGGGACGCGACGACTTGCTCGACAGCCAAGAGGAAACTGCCCGCTCGCGCGGCAGCTCCAAGTCATCCACCAAATCTGCAGATGGCCGGGACGATATTGCCAAGTTGAAACGCTTGACGCACAGGCGTGTCAAGAGCGGCGCCGACGATTCCGCGTTGAGCCGATCAACGTCATTAACTGGCGAGGCGCTTGCTGCTGCTGGTCCCGAATCTGTAGCTGCTTCCCATCCGAGTGCCTCTGCGAAAGGCAAAGGGCCATTACAAGCAACCTCAGCAGACCAAACCCTTTCCAAGTCTGCCAGCGCCTCCTCGCTGTCAGCCGCCGCGACCGCCCCCGCCGACGATGATGACGACGCACTGTACGGAATGCACGCGTCTCTGGAGGACGAAGAGCATCAACGCGACCAAGTGCATTCGTCCTATCCGCATCCTGCGGTTGCGGCTGCGGCTGCCCAGGCTGTTTCCACGAAAGGAACCCCGACTCTTCCAGACACCCCTACCCTCATTCGCGACCAATTCCAGCTGAACCAGGAGCGTCAGTTGGCCGCCTCTGCACCATCAGCAACCAACTCATCTTTATCGCACGCGCAGCCCCAACACCAGCAGCACCTTCAGCAACAATTTCAGCAACAACTCGAAGCGCAGCAGTACCCGCCACAATTACAGTCGCAGCAGGCAAACTTCTTCCCGTCGCCAAAGGCCGTTTCGCGAAGTGACTCGTCGCAATTGGGATGGCGGGCCTCGTACAATGGCGTCGGAGGCAACCCGCTGACGTCGCCCAACATTATCGACATTATCTCTGATTCGCAGTACGCCACATCCTCCGAACTGGAAAAGGAAAACGCCCACTTTACCGTCAGCGAAGCGCTGATTGCTGCTGTCGAGGAATCTAGGCAGGTGGCGCAAGTCATCTCGGCCAGTGCCAACGATCTTTCCATGACGGGCTACCAAACGCCCGGCTTCGGCGACGTCAATGGCGATGGTGGCGCGATCGGCGACCCGCAAGCCCATTTCAACAGAAACGGTATGCCTGAAGCGCATCCGCCAACCTCCAGCCATTTAGTGGACGATGTGGTCGTGGTACGCGAGATGGACGACGATACAACGCTTCTGCACGACTCCCGGGCGCTAGAGAATGCAATTCTCGTCAACCGTACCGCCGACGCCGGCGAGTTTTCCGACGATAGCGACGAAGAAATTATGCAGTTGAAGCGACAGCTGTTGGCAAAAAAGCGCCAAAAGGAGCTGCGAAAGCGCAAGGGCTCTGCGAGCGACGTTTCTCGCACGGAAGATCCCTTAGCTGCGTCCGGCATTTCAACCGCGTCCTCGGATATGAACGCTGCGTCGCTTCGGCTGAGCCTGCAAGACGATCAGCTGGCAAGCTTTGCAAACCGAAGCAAGCAGTCTGCTGCCTCCGCCATGCGCAGACCCGACTCTCAGAGAGCACAATCTGTCAGTCTCCATCACTTGCCGTCCGATTCGGAGGACGATCTATTCGATGACGAGGAGGTCGATGAAACAGCGAGTCGTCTGAACGCTGCCAAAGAGGCCCGTCGCCAACGGCAGCTCAATGCCGCCCAAGTGAGTGCGACTGCTACCAGTGCTGCTGCTGTCGCTGCAGCTGCTGTTGGATCGAACAGCTTGGAGCGCGGCGAAGGCAGCATTTCGCCATCTCCTTCGGCCTCGTCTGGCTTGTCCGCGGGGCGGCAGATGAGCTTGCCTCGAAGCCGGGCTCAGTCGGGTGGGGCCTTGACTCCTCCTCCAGCCGATGACGTTTACTCGCAGGATCGGTATGCCCGCCATACGCCTTGGTCGACAGCCTCGGGTCGTTTCTCAATCCAGCCGCAGCAGCAGCAGCAGTTGCTGCAACAGCAGTCCACCCATCAACCTCAGCCCCTCGACTACAACCCCGTTGCTGCCACCGCTGTAGCCGCAGCAGCGGCTGCCGCTGCCGTCGCAGCTCTGACGTCAGTTCCCGGGGAAAACGACGAGGAGGTGCGAAGCACTGCAGCATTTGTTGCAAAGCAATTCTTGCAGTCCCTCCCAACAGCTCCATCGCCTGCTCAGTCCATGTCTCCGCACATGGACATGTCCATGTCCAGTGAATCTCTGGACGTGCTACCGGGCTCGCGAGCACTCTCCCCTCAACCTGGAGGCCGCCGCACACCAAATTCTTCGCTGCCATACACCATCGCTCACCACCTCCAGCACGCGATGCGCTTCCTTGTCAAGGACGCCGACACACCCCAGACCATGCTTCCATTGCCGCTCAATCTTGCGCGTCGAAACAGCCTGATTCGTGCCAACCGAGACTTGAGCATCCCTCCCATGAGTGGCGAAGTGCCTCCTCCTGGCGTGTACAATGACAATGTTCCAGTCGCCTCTCCGCCGCTTGCAAGTGCGTCGGGTATGGAAGCCGACGCCAAGGCAGGCCAGCAGCGTGCCACTCGTGTCCGCGGCACCGATGACTGGGCTCCTCCGCGGTCGCAAGTCATTTTCAATGTGCAGACGAAACCGAGCAAAACCAAAGTCGGTGTGGCTGCTCAAAACTATCGCTGCACGGGCTGTGGTCTGCGTTTTGAAGAAAGTAAGATTGGTGAACGGGCTTGATGTTTTGAGGTTTTTTTTATTTTTTTGTTTTTTTATTTTTTTTTTTTTTTTTTTTTTTTTGTGAGGAGACCCTCGGGTTGGCGTTGACTTTGTTCTGCTCTTTGTTTCACCTCTCAGACTATGTCAAAAAGTTTCGATTCTGCGAGTATATCGGCAAGTTCTTTTGCGCAAGCTGTCACTCGAACTCGGTTGAGATTATTCCCGCCCTTGTGCTGCACAAATGGGACTTTAAACCGCGGAAGGTGTCAAATTTCGCCAAGGAGTTGCTGCATCGGATATTTTCCGAGCCTGTATACAACATTGGTGCGATTAATGCGAACTTGTACAGCAAGGTCAAAGCCCTCGCAGCGTTACGGGTACGTGAGGTGGCGTTTGTTTTGGCGGGTTTGTTTTTATTGTTGTTTGGGGGTTTTGTTTTCCTTGTTTTTCTTCTGTCGTGTCAACTACCGCGCATGTATGTGCTCACCTGTATCGGTACCATGCTCAGACGACTCGCACTCAACTCACCCTCATGAAGGACTACTTGCGCACATGCCGAACTGGTGCAAAGTAAGGCGATTCGAATGCGATGGAGTTGCTGGTTTGTGCTCTGTCCCCAAACCTTCATTCACTTGTATTGTTCTGTTTATTAGACTTTTGGAATCGATTGCCGACCGCGAGTACCTTGTGAACGAAAGCGAGCTCTACTCGATGCGGGACCTGCTTGAGATTTACCCAGAGGACAAGATCAGCGAGCCGCTGCGTGCGTTGGCTCGGAACGGAATGGCTCATGTGATGAAATGCGAGGTATGTAGTGTCTGTCTCGGCAAAGCGTTCGTTGCGCTTGTCCCTTGATCGCACCTTGCACTCACCGTTCCACTTTTTTGTTTTTCGAAATTGCGCCAGCTCTGCCAAGCCAAGGGTTTTATTTGCGAGTTTTGCAACAACTCCAAGGACATTTTGTATCCGTTCCAGCTCGGAAAATCGGTTCAATGCGAAGGTGAGCGTCAGAGATTTAGGGGAGCTGCTTTGTGTATGCTTTTTGCTGTTATGCTGACTTGTTTGATTGCACTTTCGCCACCGTCTCTCCAGGCTGCAAGTCTTTCTTCCATGCAGAGTGCTATGTCAAGGACAGGTGTCCCAAGTGCATGCGTATTCGTGCGCGTGAATCCAAGCGTGCGCTGACTGCGGCGCCATAAACTCTCATTTTCTCACTCTCAATCTCGATTCCCCAATCAACCCTTTTGTATTTTTTTTTTTATTCTTTAATAAATCCAACCTTTCGACGCATTGACAATGAAAGCTCGCCTTCCACTCTTTTTTTTTTTTTTTTTTTTTTTCTTTTTTTTCTATTGCAGAATGGCTGACATTGTGAGTGTCTGTGCTTTTGCGTTTCGCGTGTGCTCCTCGTCTCTCACTCTCCGTCTGTTCTCGATCTGTCTCTCTTGCTATCTGTCTCTGGCTCTGGCTCTGGCTCTGGGCGTTGTCCTGCTGTGTTCGCCTTCCCGTCATCACTGGGCAACCGAAACGCAGCAGCACGAGGCGGACGTGGACTTTGAGGACGAGTCCACAGCGGCAGCACCATCCGCAGTCCCGATGAGCCTGAGCACAACGCACCCGCTCAGCCAGCCATACACACTGTGGTTTACACGACGCGCCAATCTCAAGGTCGACAAGTACGCGGACATTGTCAAGCCAGTCGCCGACATTCGCACGGTCAGTCCCGTCGTTCTGCCTCCATCGTCACTGTCAGACCCCTCCGCTTCGGAGTCGTCTCAAAGCTCAGAAGGGTTAGATGCGTGTGTCTTGCTCAAGTCACAACGTTGAAAACCCGGGGATTTTGCCATTGTGACTGACTTTTGGCTCGTCGTTGTGTCTTACAACGGTAGCTCGAGGACTTTTGGGTTGTCTACTCGTTCTTGACGAGGGTGGGCGCACCGCAAAGTACCAATCTGTGTGACTTGCATTTGTTCAGGGAAGGTATCATGCCGTTCTGGGAGGTAAGAGACTTGCTGAACAATCAGTCGCTTGTCGATGATTGGAAACCCTTTTTTTTTGTTTGTTCGATCTGAGATTCGCGGGCTGATTTCCTGGTCAACAACACTGGTACAGGATGACGCAAACCGAAAAGGTGGGAAATGGATTTGTCGGCTGAAGAAAGGACTTGCCCCGCGCTTGTGGGAGGATTTGGTAGGTGCAACGTCCAGTTGTTGGCTCGATATATCGCTGTTGGCTGTGGGAAAGGTTCTGTCGCTCGTCTGGACGGAGGAATTTGTGGTATCTGATGTGCTGTTTGCTTCTTTTTTTTTGGGGGGGGGGGAAACTGTAGCTGTTGGCAGTGCTTGGAAACCATTTCCCGAGTGGAGACGAAATTTGCGGCTACGTTGTGTCCATCCGCCTCAACGAAGACAGTCTTGCTGTCTGGAACCGAAATGCAGACAAGCCGGAAGCCAGCTATCCCATTCGGTAACCGTCAGCGAACGGAGAGCGAGAACATTGTTAGTTTGTGTTGCTTTGGTTTCTCATATAATCTGTTCCACACACTCACACAGTGATGCGCTGAGACGCGTTCTCGCTCTACCTTCGACAACAATCCTCGAGTATAAAAACCATGACCAAAGCTTGCGGGATCACACCAAGATTCGAGGACCAGATAACAAGCAATAGCCGACCTGTCTCTTGAATGAATGTTTGCATAGAATGTGGGATTTCGATGAAACTCTCTGCTAGTTTATGTATATTTTTTAAACATTCAAACTCTACATATGTGTGGGTGCGTCGGAGGACGTCGGAAAATGAAAAAAATCGATAAAACATTCAAAAAAACGAAACGAATCAAAATTTCACGTGCTACACATCGCTCTGGCCCGCCGGTGCGAGATGCTCATGACGCTGGAGCATGGTCCCGGGGCTAAGTTCAAGGTTTTGCACATCTCCTTGCGAATCCGCGTCGCGCGCGGGTGGCTGCGGGACTTTGTGAGCGAACGTTTTGGCAATCCATGGGCAGGCGAGCGAGTCGAGCACACTCGCAATTGAAAAGTGGGTTTGGCCACGCACAATTTCCACCGTTCGTAGGGTGCTTGGAATGGAAATGAGCATGCTGACGCAACGATCGATTTCAAGGAGTTCCTCGTGCTCGCCCAGAAAAACGGCGTAAGGGACATCGATGGCGCTGAAGAGAGATCTTGATTCGAATGACATGGATCCGACGACAGAGTTTGCAGTCAGAAACTTGGGAGGCGGGGCTCCGCCAGGAACCCCTGGATTCCAGTCCGCCATGAAATCCTTGGTCTGTGTCGAACCGAAGGTCTGAAAGACTGACCCACGGAAAAAGTCGTGCAAGTGAATCGCTGGTCGGTGGCCCAGTCGACCTTTCGTCCCTCGCGCAAATGCGAGCTGAAGGACTTTGGTGAAGGAGTTTGGACTGAAGAAGGTCCCGCGCAGCTCCGTTCGCTCAAACTCGGGAAGATGCGGCGAGCCAAAGACAAACCCGTCGACGCGTTCAGCCTGGCTCCATGCCGCGTACTTTAATGCAAGCGAACTGCCGGTGCCATGTCCCACAAGAACAACGGAACAAGTCGGATTGTTCCACTTGGCGACCTGCACAACTGCCCGCAAATCTTCCAGGTGCGATTGAGGAGTCCGAGCATCACCTCGCGGGCCGCCTGAAAGCCCGTGGCCTCGATAGTCGTAAATATACGATCGTAGGCCATACACGTTCCGGCATCCGTAAGGAATAAACGAGCGATAGAAGCTGCAGACAGCGAGACCAACGACAATAACGACGACGACGTCCAGCTTCACATTTTCAGGGCTTGGTAAATACGACCGGAAGGCTATGGGCACTCCGTCTGGCGACATGACAAACTTGACGGGCTCAAGCTCTTGTGCAATAGCCAAGTTCTCGTCCACAAAGTGCTCGATGGCTGAGGCAACGGCAATCTTGACGTCCAGTCGATGTTGCGCAGTGCTTTTGCTTCTTGCTTGGCCTCGACTGACCGGCGCGGTTGCAGATGAACCCAAGCTGACAGACACGGATGAGCTCTTGTTGGAGTTGTACCGATCGACACCGGACTCGGAACTGTGCCCGTTGAGATCGAGCCTGCTGGCCACAGGACTGAGCTGCTCTTGCGAGCTGAAGGAGCCGGAAGGCGAAACAACACCGCGGGACTGATCTGGTGTTGTGTCTCCCGTGGGCGGTGTGCGTGTTGTATCGGTCTGCATCGAACCTGGCTGTTGACTCTTTAGCATGGCCTGCTCGTTCATGCTGTTGCTGTTGCTGTTGGAGCTTGTGCCTCCATTCCCGGCGTGACCGAGCCGCGTCAACAGCGCTGTGCCCCGTCGGACCAGTTCAGCCTTTGTTGCAAGCTTGTATGAGCGAACACCGAGGTCTCGATCTCGATCGCGCTCGCTGCCGGAGGCTATGACTTGCGATGCCATCAATCGATGCACCAACCGCTGCCGCGCTTCAACAATCCCCTCGAAAATGTCGCGCTGAAACCGGTCACGATCGCGTAGCTGATGAACGAGGGCTTTTCGCCACTGTGGAACCTCGAGCGGCAGTGCAACACTGTTGCCCGTTAACGCGTTCTCGTCCAAGGCGTCGAATGAAGCCGGGTTGCTGCTCAACGGGTGGCCAGCGTCGGATTCGAGCTGGGAGTTGTGAATGGTGTTGTTGAATGGAATGGTGGATGTGCTAGCCCCAGTCGAAAGTTCGGATATCGTTACTAAACCTGCCCCGCCTGTTGCTGCTTGGGGCGAAAGAGCGGTCGCGTCCAAGGCTTCGTTCGGAGCAATCATTGAAGCGCGACTGGACGGCACACTCAGTTCACCCAGAGGTCCATACACGAGCTCGGACTTTGGTCGCAAGCCGCCTTGACTAAATGCAAAGCAGAGCATAGACGCTGGCCGCAATATTTGAGACGCTCGAGCAACAGCGGCGGCGGAGGCGCCAGGGAGCGGACACGCAACCAGGGAGGACACAACATTGGAACTGTGCTTTTGCAAAGCAAACGCAACAGTCAGTTTGCATAGCACACTTGGGACGTGCGTGTCCATGTCCACGCGCAAAAAGTAAAACTTTTGAGTGAGCCGAAGCAGCGACGTTCTTGCAAAGTGCTTTTCGAGCTTTGACGCTACACAGAGCCGGCCTGAATCCGTCACGACGGGGGTGCTTGTTTCTTCCGCCAGGGCGTCCATGTCCACAAAGTCCCAGTCCTTGTCGAGTGCATCAAGCTGCTGCTGCGGGGCGGCGTCCGTCTTTGTGGACGACTCGGCCAGAAGCGTCCCTTCGCTCGACTGGCGTGACAGCTGGGCGTTGTTCGCCTGAGACGATGGATTGGAGTCGTTCGTGAGGACTTTTGGCGACGGTGCAGCAGTGGGCAGCTGGGTTGAGTGATTGAGAAATGGCGCTTGCAGCTGAACCTCGATCGCGGTGGGCTTGGCTTGTGGTGTCATCGGACCGCAGTGAATGACCATAGGTTTGTCAATGTCGCCGATTGTTGTCTGTTCCATTCCAGCATCCAAACAGCGAGAATGAGAGTGTGAGAGGGCAAAGTCCGAATCCAAATATCGAGCCAAGAATTAGTGGGGTCGTACCGTGTGCGAGTTCTGGACGAGAGCAATGGCCTTCTTTTGCTTTGAGGCGCGAACGAGGTACAAGCATGGGAGACGGACGTGCACTGCAACGTCAAAGCGAATGGCCAACGCACCGCCTTCCTGCAAAAGCACAAGAATTGGGAGTAGCAGTGAGTGTGCATGAAAAAAAAAAAGTGCTGCGCATCCGTCGAGCTCGATCTCTTCAAAGAGTGTGAGCACTCATTGCATGCAAGTTCGTCATTGGTCAAACAGCAGCCGAACGAAAGTGGGAGGGGGGGGAGAATGGTCGGCGAAACAAGGGGGAAAACCGACCTCGATGGCTACAATGGAGCCTGGCTGGAACGACGGCGCGTCCGAGGCAGCATGGTCGGGCGCACTATTGTTGGCGGATGAGATCCTGAAGTGAAGCCCCTCTGACTCTGCTGCGGGGTCTCTGCTGGCAAAGCTGCTGCCAGTGGTGGAGCCTGCCGACGCTGAAGCACGATGAATGACTTCGCTGCCGTTCTCAATGTTGCGCACGCGCACTGCGAGCAGCTGGAAGCGACGTTGATCGTAGCTGGCGCTCTGTTTTTGTTGTTGTGCACATGCATTGAAGATGATCAAAGTGCAAAGTGCAAAGTGCAGAGTGGGGATGTGAGTGAAAAGTGAAAATAGTGACGCGTTCGCGGTTTTTTTTTTTTTTTTTTTGTGGATTTTACTCGGAATATTGGTCGCAAATCGCAGCTGACGCTCATTGCATTTGTTCAAAGGACTGCCGCTGTCCTAGAATTAGCGCGAGGTGACTTGATTTTGTATGAATGATGGATGATGTTTCGTACGTCGGCAGCTGTATTCAAAAAAGTTAAAAGATCAGCGGTTGTAAATCTTTCGTTGCTGTAAAATTCAGAGTTGATCGCACGAGTGCTGCCGGCCTGACGCATGGGCTCAATGGTACACTGTTTGCAACAACTAGTACAATACAGTGCTACTTTCGCAGCACTGAGCTGAGCTTGACGCGACTTTGCTCATCCAATCCCATTGAGAAGGGTGACAATACCAATTTTGTCTCGCTCAGCCATGAGGTTTCTCAGCTTCCAGTGATGAGATTCCCCTCCCATCATTATTCCTGTTTCGATATTTCCTTTTGGTCTCTCCTTTTGAATCCGAGCTCATCCTCCATTTGTTGCTTGATGCCGGTTGCTTGATGCCGGGTGCACCATTGCCGTCGTCTGCGGCATCCGAGGACGTACGTTTTTATTCCGCCTCTTCCTCTCTCTTTCTCTCGACTTCGACTTCTCCCCCAGTTTGCCCTCATGCCTTGTCTCTCCATCTCTCTCGCTCTATCTCGCTCTATCTCCTTCTCATGGGCTTTCTGACTGCTTTGGTCATCGTCGCCACTGATTCCCTTTTTTCTTTTCTTTTTTTTTCTTTTTTTTCCTTTCACTGTTCTCCATTGCGCTTTGTCGCCCCACTATTTTCCACTGTTTCCCCCTCACTGCGCAGGCATTGTCGCTGTGACCCTCTTTCTCTCTCTCTCTCTCTCTCTCTCTCTCTCTCTCTCTCTCTCTCTCTCTCTCTCCAACCTCCTTTCCCTTTTCTCCTCTTGCTCTGCCAAAGTAGTCATGCGCGTCGGCACATTCGGCTTTGTCACATGCCCATCCCCGCGAGCAATAATTTTTATTTGATTTTTTTATTTATTTTTTTTTTGGTTGAACGTCAAGCGCATCGTTTACTTCCCCCTCTCTCTCTCGCTACTAATGCTCGTTGCTCCTTGAGACCTGCCTGGCTTGCTGCTTTTGCTGTGGTGTCGTGGTGTAGTGTCGTGTGAGAATCCGAGCTCATGCTCTCTCGCTCCATTCGTTTTGTCCTTTTCGCGCCCCATTCTCGCTCCCACTCCCACTCACTCTGCTCCACCACCACTGTCGTCGTGTTCTCAACCGCCTTGGCTTGATATCTCACTTTTGAGGGGCGGGGAATGGAACCTTTGCTTTTGATGTTGACTCGGGTTGTTGTTGTTGTAGGAAGAGCGGTTACTGCTCGTTGGCGGGGCCAAGCGCCTCCACACGTTCCGCAAGGTCGCCTTTGCCATGGGCGCTGCGCCAAACTCACTGACGCATACAATCGTCGGCTTCTTCCTGTCACCCTTCCTGCTGGAAGTTGCTTTGGTAAGCGTCGCTCGTCGTACTTTATGACCAGCACAGACTAACTCGAAAACCGTTGTTTGTTGTTGTATTGCATTCTTCACTCACTTCCAATATCATCATCATCATCACCATGCCTCCCCCCCTTCTCTCCCTCGTTTGACTCTTGACTTGGACAGGTCCCGCCGGCGGACGTGGGCAACATTGTCCTGATTGGCCGCTTCTTTGATGCTTTTACGGATCCGATGATGGGCTACCTGGCCCAGCGCTTTTTGACGCGATGGGGCCGATTCCGTCCGTGGATGTTCTTCTCGGCTATTCCGTGTGTAGCAACGTACTTTGGCCTGTGGGTGGTTCCGGACTGGGGCCGCTGGGAGCAGTTTGCCTACTACTTGATTGTCTACTGTCTCTTCCAACTCGCCTTCACCTGCTACTTTGTACCGTACACGTCGCTGACAATGGAAGTCAGTCCGCTAGCAAGCGATCGCGACTCTGCAACCGCCTTCCGCATGACGGCTGAGATTCTGTCCGTTATATCGGCAGTCGTCATCCAGGGCCAGATTGTCCAGTCGTCCACGTTTGCCGACAACCCCAAGTTTGCGTACATTTTGTCGGGTATCGTCATTTCGTGCCTTTCCGCCGTGATGGCCTACATTTGCATCTTCTCCGTCAAAGAGTACACGACCGAAGAGCGTCTTGCTGCTCGCAAGCGTCGCGAAGACGAAGAGCGCGAAGGACTGGGCTACAAGGTGCACTCGCGCACCTCTGCCAAGGCTACCGGCAACTCGGACCGTCGCGGTCTGCTGTCTGCTGAACAGCAGGCTGGAGCAGACGATGACGATGAGTCGGCCGGCCTCTCTGGCAAGCACGCATCCTACGGCACCGGCTCCTCCTCCTCCTCTTCCTCTCAGGCGGGTGCTGACGCCAACGTTGGTGGCAGCTACGCCAACGGTGGTGGTGCTGCCGTCGATGGCGGCGCCGCCGCCAACTCTGATCGCAATCACCAGCAGCAGGTCGCCGTCGCGGCGGACGCCCCCGAGCACATTTCGCTTTGGGAAGGTGTCAAGCTTTCGTTCAAGTCGCGCTCCTACCTCATCCTCATGTTCATGTACATGAGTGTGTGGCTCGCTGTGCAGATGGTGCAGGGCAATCTCGTCCTCTACATCAAGTACGCAATCAAAATGCAAAGCCAGTTCGACATGATCATTGTGAGCAGTCTTCTGGCCACCTTCTGCATGATTCCCGTGTGGACGGCGGTCATCAAGCGCATCGGCAAGCGCAGGACGTACCTGATTGGCCAAAGCATCCATGTTCCCGTGCTGCTGCTCTTTTACTTTATGGACGAGACCGTTTGGCACATGTACTGCACTGTCATTTTGATTGCCATCGGCACGTCGGTGGCCTATCTGCTGCCTTGGTCGATGCTTCCCGACACCATCGACGAAGCCCAGGTGCTAACAGGCGTGCGCCGCGAGTCGGTCTTTTACGCCTTCTTTGTCTTCTTCCAAAAGTTCACGTCTGGCATTGCCCTTTCCTTGTCCAGCTACGCCCTCGAGCTGGTGGGCTACGTGTCAAAGGCAGACGACCAGCCCGACAAGGTCAAGGAAACGCTCCGCCTCCTTGTGAGCGTTGTGCCCGCATGCCTCTGCGCCCTCGGTCTCTTCTGCTGCTGGCTCTACCCCATCTCGTCGGAGCGTGCCGCCGCCAACCGCGCCATGATCAACCAGATGGAGAAGGACAAGAAGGCATTCCAGGACAAGGCTTCCGTCCAGGGCCAGTCCTCGCCGCTGGAGCCCGCGTCCCCATCGATGCGTCAGCAAGACTCTGTCACCTCCAACGTGGTGTACTCGGACGAGTCGACCGCATAAAACCCAGCGTTCTCTGTCTTGATTTTTAAAAATCTTTGTTTTCTTGTTTGACCTGCCCAAAGTCTCGATAGGAGTGCGTTCACGTTCGTTTCTGCCGCTCTTCCGCCAACCACTCTGCATTCTGTGTTTTTGTTTTTTCCCTCCCTTGCTTTTCTCGCACAAGACAGTGTTTTTGTTTTGTGTCGTGTTTTGCATGCTTTGTCATTTTGTATTTTTTTTTCCGTGTGATGTTGAAATCCTTGCAACAGTACAAACAAAAACTTGAACATTGCTTTCGTTAGTGTTTTGCTATCCGAATTTGTTTGCTTTAAAAAGGTCAACAGAGCCCAAATCAATCTCCAGCATTTCAACATCACTCATTTCTCTTTTTTTTACAAAAGACACGCAAACATGGCTTCTACTGACAACAAGTACGTGTCGCTTCCCCTTCGCTTCGTGCCCCAGCCTTGAGCAGAGTGCTTTGGTCGTGTTTCGTTTGACGTGCCGCCGAGAAGGGAGGGGAGGTCGGGCGTTGGCTGCTGGGGCCGTGCGGCGCATCGATGGCTTTTTTTTTCTTTTCTTTTTCTTGCTTTTTGGGGACCTGTCTGTTGGCACGCTCGCTTCACCGTCAGCTCCAGCGATACACGCTGCAAACTACATGATTGCCGCACTTACACAAGTCCAAGTGGAACACAGTCCCACGAAACGAAAACGACCAACAACAAGAACAATGAAAGCGAAAAAAAAAAAAAAAAAAAAAAAAGTTGACGAGAAAACGCACATGGTGTTGAAGTGATGTTGCAATCGCTGCTGACGCTCGCTGCTGGACTCGCTCCCACCGCCATTCGTTCCGTGGCGCACCCGTCCTCCTTTGTTGCGTCTTTTTTTTTCTTTCCCCCTCGGTCCTCTCTGTCTTGCGACCGGCGTTTTCGCGTCAATGCTCTCAATCGTCGTGTCTTTTTTTTTTTTTTTTTTTTTTTTTTTTTTCGTAATGCCTTTTTCCATTGGCTTTTCACCACATGTTGCCCTTTTAAAAAAAAAAACAAAATAATAAATAATACAAAGGCTCACTTTTGACTGTCCTTTTGCGCTTTGCTCGTTTGCGTTTCCAGGGACTGGCAGGCGACTGACGCTGCCACCAAGGGCGACACCAAGCGCTCTGCCGACAACGGCCCCGCCGGCATGCAGCCCGACGGCGAGATCGAGGTACGTCTTGTGTTTTTTTTTTTTTGTTTTTTTTTTTTTTGTTTTTTCCCCTTTGCTGTGCATTTTTGGCTTTTTTGGCTGGGCGCGTCGTCCTGCTGCCTCGGGGTTTGGCAAAATGGGGCCCATGGGGGTGGTGCTTGTGAGAGTGTGGCGTTATCGCCTCTTGTCCCGTCCCTGTTGGCTTGTGCTTTGAGCATTGAACTTTTTTTTGCTTTTTTTTTTTTTTTTTTTTTTTTTGGTGCTGAGCTTGCATTGCGTCCCACATGCTTTTTTTTTTTTTTTTCATTCATTGCCTTTCCTCTGATGGCCTGCTTTCCTCTTCTTCTTCTTCGTCTCACTGCCCTCCATCGTCCTTCACACCATCAACAGTCCAACTGGGACCAGGTCGTCGACAACTTTGACGCCATGAACCTCCGCGAGGACCTGCTCCGCGGCATCTACGCCTACGGTTTCGAGAAGCCGTCTGCCATCCAGCAGCGCGCCATTCTCCCCGCCATCAAGGGCCACGACGTTATTGCCCAGGCCCAGTCTGGTACCGGCAAGACCGCCACCTTCTCCATCTCGGTCCTGCAGTCGATCGACACGTCCATCCCCCACTGCCAGGCCCTCATCCTCGCCCCGACCCGTGAGCTCGCCCAGCAGATCCAGAAGGTCGTCATCGCCCTCGGCGACTACATGAACGCCAACTGCCACGCCTGCATCGGTGGCACCAACGTCCAGGAGGACATGAAGAAGCTCCAGAACGGCGCGCACATTGTTGTCGGCACCCCCGGCCGTGTCCAGGACATGATCAACCGCCGTGCCCTCCGCACCGACAGGATCAAGATGTTCGTCCTCGACGAGGCTGACGAGATGCTCTCGCGCGGCTTCAAGGACCAGATTTACGACGTCTTCCGCCTGATGCCCCCGACCATCCAGGTCGTCCTGCTCTCGGCCACCATGCCCGCTGACGTCCTCGAGGTCACCACCCACTTTATGCGCAACCCCATCCGCATTCTCGTCAAGCGCGAGGAGCTCACCCTCGATGGTATCCGCCAATTCTACATTGCCGTCGACAAGGAGGAGTGGAAGCTCGACACTCTCTGCGACTTGTACGAGACCCTCAACGTCACCCAGGCCGTCATTTTCACCAACACCCGTCGCAAGGTCGACTGGCTCACCGAGAAGATGCACGCCAAGGACTTTACCGTCTCTGCCCTCCACGGTGACATGGACCAGAAGGAGCGTGACGTTATTATGCGCGAGTTCCGCTCGGGCTCGTCCCGTGTCCTCATCACCACCGATTTGCTCGCCCGTGGTATCGACGTCCAGCAAGTCTCCCTCGTCATCAACTACGATCTCCCCACCAACCGCGAGAACTACATTCACCGCATTGGTCGTGGTGGTCGCTTTGGCCGCAAGGGCGTTGCTATCAACTTTTTGACTGCCGATGATACCCGCACCCTGCGCGAGATTGAGCAGTTCTACAACACTCAGATCGAGGAGATGCCCATGAACGTTGCTGATTTGATCTAAGCGAGCGAGAAGTTTCACACCAAGAAAAGGGGGTGGGGGAAAAAAATGTGGGATTTATCTCCCTTTTTTTTTCCTTCTTCTTCTTTTTTTCGGTTTCATCTTCTTCTTGTTTGGTTTTGAATCCTCTCTTCGTTCTCCTCGTGCCCTCACTGTTGTTCTTTTTTTCTTTTCTTTTTTCTCTCTCGCTCTCTCCTTCTTTTATTCTTCCCCGGTTTATTGTCTGTGTTCCTGGTTTGATTCTGTCTTGTATCGCTGACGGATCTGCAGCCCCGCACCATTCCACCCTGCCCCGCCACAGCAAACCCTTCCTCCCGTTAAGTCAATCACGCGCGCGCCTCTCAACAAAGCAACGAAATTCAGCGAGCAACCATTTTCGTGGGACTTGACCCAAGAAGTGGGGTGCCGCGCTCCTCCCTCTCACATTGATTCATAGTCACGACCATTGTGTGTGTTTTGTGTTTGTTTTTCCTACATCCCGGTTTTCCTTCATTTTGTAATCCTTGGCACGAAAAATTTTGAAAGTAAAAAACATTGAAAAATCACTCGTTTCGTTCCATCGTCCAAAACAAAAGTGTGTAGCTATTTCAATGACTCGTCGCTCACACACACTCACACACTCGCACGTATGCCTATTCAAAGACAATATCGTCCTCGTCGTCGGCAGGGGTTTCCAGTCGATGCTTCTTGTTGACATGAGCGGCTGCGGGCTGGTGGTCGGACGCTGAGCCATCATCCATCAGGACAATATCATCATCGTCCACCACTGCTGGTGCATCGCTGTCGTCCTCGGCCTTTCGTTTCCGATCCGCTGATGGGGTGGGCGCAGGAGCAGCGGGTGCTTGTGCAGCTGGCGGAGGGACTGAGCCCTGGCCTTCGACAACAAACTGTGCGTCCGCTTCGAATGCCTCTCTGTGCCAAAAGAAATAAAAAAAAGGTTGGAATGAGATTCCAATGAAGCGCAGAAATGCAGCACGCATGTAAACATACCGATGAAGGACGCGAATGGTCAGTTCGTAGCTCTGGTGGAAGTCCTCCACAAACACGCTCGTGTCGTGCACAATCCCCAGGGACGATAGCGCCTTGGGGTTGTTAATGTCAGTCTCGCCAGGTTCGCTGGACAACAGGATTCTGAAGGGGTCGGGGGCCACCCCAACGTCAGCAAAAACGCACCTTTGTCCGACTTTTTGTTTCTCGGAACACACGACCAAAAACAAATCCTGAAAACACGTACCTATTACCCTCCATCATGTCGGGAGCAATCATGCCCAGTCGCCCTTTGAGGACGACCTCATCAAATTGGCCTACAACCAAGACAAACCAAATGCGCACTTTCAATGAGATTGCCTCCAACCTCGGGTGTCAGCCAGCCGCACCACTGCCGCTTCATACCAAGGGTCATAGTGTTGGTATTGACATGGACGGTGACTCGGGGCTTTGCGGCACAGACATGGCAATTCGGATTGGGCTTGGAAAGTTCAGTTGGGAGAAGCACTTTCATCCGCGAGTTGGGTTTGCGAGCCAAGAAAGTCTGTTGGCAGCGATTATTTCAGTGTGAGTACAAGATTTCCGTGAACACAGTGTCGATCCTCTCTCTCTCTCTCTCTCTCTCTCTCTCTCTCTCTCTCTCTCTCTCTCTCTCTCTCTCTCTCTCTCTCTCTCTCTCTCTCTCTCTCTCTCTCTCTCTTCGACATCCGAAGTTTGAACAACACCTACCATCCGGCAAATCGAGAACTGGTCACGCAGAATCTTCATCGCCTCGAGCACAATCAAACCAGCAACAATGGCATTCGTCGTGGCAATAGCAGGAATAATGTTGCCCGCCATGGACTTGGCATCAAAGCGGCACATGTTGGGAATGGAAAACACGGACATGCGCAAATTGGCGGCCGCCGTGACAAAGTCCATGGCCAGATCGTCGTCCTTGTCCCAGGAGAGAATGGCAGCCTCCGACGAACCGGATGCGGCAGCCTTGGCCTGTTCTTCAGAGAGGCGCTGGGCGAGCCGGCTCAAGGACGAGCGGAACACGTCCGTGCATTCCTTCAAGCCCCACACACGCTGATCCTTGAGCCGAGTGCTGGAGGCGGGGCCGTCGTCGTTTGTGCCGTCCGTGCTTTGCTCGAGCAAGGTATCCAGCGGGACTGGTGGTCGGCGCTCGCGCCACAACTTGTCCATGCGCAACAGCGTCTTGACGTCGTTGACAAAGAGCTTTTGGACGGTTTCATCAGCGTGATACTGGTGCTCAATAGCCCAAGCGCGCAGGCTCTGGACGTTGTTGTTGGTGGCGCTGTCAGCCGAGGAAAGCTCAGCATTGGCGTCTCGCCCATCCACGTCCTGTCGTCCAGCATCAGCATTGTCGCCCGCTGCTTCTGGATCTGCCGTGTTGGGCGAAATGTTGTTCTCGTCGTCGGCCAGGCCAAACAGCTGGTTGAACAGGAACTTTCCCCACACGATGCAGTGGATTGGGAGCGAAGGAGTGTTGCGAATGGTGCACACCGGGTGCTGCTTTGGCGGCGGCTTGGGAGTGCACTCGAAGCACTCTGTCGCTCCTTTCTGTGATGTTAATGCAGTCAGTGGCGCAGGGTGAGACGGAGGGTTGGGGGTTTCTCCTTTGAGCACAGCTTGCGACACCAAAAAAAGTTCGCCAAGGCTTTACCTTGATCACAGTGACCTGACCAAGATAGCCAGCAGTGCCACTCTCGACCAGTGGCACATCTGCAGCCAGACACATGCGGTTGACATGGTTGCGAGCAGACACGTTATCCAAGGCGTTCAGAACGAGATCAAACTGGCCAAACCACTCTTGGCTAAACTCCTTGTTCTGCTCAAAAATAAATCAAAACAAACGCATCAACAGCCATGAGTGGTTTTGTTGGTTGTTGCTGAACAGCATTGCCAATACTGCATTGTCACCCCCATACCTTGATGTTGGCGTGGTGGAAGACAATGTTGGCCTGTGGATTGAATCGCCGTGCGCTGTCCGCCGCGACCTGCGCCTTGGGCAAGCCGACGTGCTGCCGCTGGAAGAGGAACTGTCTGTTGAGGTTGCTCACTTCGATCGTGTCGAGATCCACAACGACGACATTGACAAAGCCAGACAGGACGAGGTTCTTGAGCAGCTCGCAGCCAATGCCGCCTGCGCCCACCATCAAGACCTACACACACACCCATACACGCAGCAAACATCAGCCAAACAGTATCAATCAGCAACAAAGGCTGCTGCTAGCGTGTTGTTGAACGCAAGGTGCACTCCTGAGGACGACTCCAACCTTGGCTGCCTTGATGCGCGCGTAGACGTCGTCGCCGACAATCCGACTGACTGCCGCTGATCGATCAGCACCATGATTGCTGCTGCTGGTGGTGGCCATTGAATGATGATACTCCTTGACTTTTGAGACTGAGCTTTGAACACAACTCAACTTTTGTCAAATGCAAGCTCAGATCATACTGTAGTGAATTTGGATTGGATTCAAAGTGAATTGGATTGGATTTCGGAGCTTTGTGTTGTGCTGTGTGGAGTTTGAGCAGTAAAGTTGGTCTCGTTTGACTTCAGCAGTTACAATACGCATTGTGAACATGTACTTTTGACCTTTTGTTGATGTCTAAGCTGTTTCAGATTTCTGAGATTTCTTGGCATTTTCTCAGTCTTCTTCCTTTCAGTCTCATTCTCTTTATATCTCTCTCGTTCTTTCTTTCTAAAACCCTCGAATGCCCCAAGACCCTACGAGTGCAGCCACTGCTGCTGCGGCAACGGCTGCCGCTGCTGCTGCAATGGACGCGCTGACACACGTCGACGCAGACAAGGTTGGCAGCGCCGCCAAGGACGCCGCGTCGGCCTACGCGTGGCCCGCTGCGAACTGGCTGCGGTCTGTCTTTGAAGCCGGGCAGACCAAGGAGCACCATCTCGGCGGCAAGAGCGCCAACCCGGGTGCTGTGGGCGATGTCGCTGCTGCCGTCGCCGAGGCAGTCAACACGGTCTCGTCGTCGCTGGGCTTTGGCGCCATCGTCCTGCCTGCGGGTGCTGCTGCTGCCGCGTCTGCTGGCATTGTGATGCGACACTTGCCGCTGCACTACTCGCCGGCCGCCGCGCTGGTCGGATCTGCCGTCCTCACCGGCGTCTATGTCGGAAGTCTCTACATTTGGCCGCTCCTTGCCAAGCTCGGGTAAAAGCCAAAATCATGCGCTCGTGATGAGTCAGAGAGACGCAGATGTGCATCTCAGAGAGACGCAGATGCGTATCTCGGAGAGTCGCCATCGATGTACTGATCTCAGAAAGTCTCATTTTGACTGTTTTGTGTTGTTTGGCTGTATTGGCGTGTGTTTTGATCAGTGTTGCTTCGCTGTCTCCGGCAGACCCCCGCGCAATCGACCGCGACGATCCCAAGGTCGTCCCAACGCGATTTGCGAGCGCCACCCTCGCGTGCGTCGCCTCTGTTGGTATTGTCAAGCTCTTGGCGACTCCGCGATTTGCAGGCTTCCCTGTGGTAAAAGGCTGCATTTTTTTTGTTTGTTTGTCTGACGCTGTATGCTGTGCAAATAGTGTTTTGCTCACTTGTTTTTGTTCGCCGTGTCCCTGTATCCTCAATCTTAGCCCTCTGGTTTCTTCTCTCGCCTGCTCGGCTTCCACACCGACCGCCTGATCCTGGGAGCTATCGCCCCGCTCGCGCTCACTGCTACTCTCTTTGCTGGCCCACTGGTTGGAATGTACTATTCACGCGACTTCCCGTGGCAGCACGAAGGCTTTGAGCTCCGGCCATTTGTCGAAGCGACTGTCAAGGACCTGCTTTGGTGGCGTAACATTGTGGTTGTGAGTTCCTGGTCCCTTTAGCTTTGTGTCGCACCTTCTGCTTTGCGCGAAACCACAAGCTGACTGGTTTGAATTTGCGCAGGGACCTGTGACTGAAGAAATTACCTTCCGTGCCTGCATGCTGCCTATGCTCGCATCCGCATTCGGTGGACGTGGTGCTCTGCTTGTTGCCCCTGTCATGTTTGGTTCTGGTATGGCTTTCTTGCTTGGTTTTGGGTGCAGCAAAGCGGGCCTTCGACCTGACCTATTCCGATTTCCCGTTCCCCGTCTACAGCTCACCTCCACAGCATCATCCAGCATCTGCGCAAGACTGACCAGGAGATCAAGGCCGCCTGGAGCGGAATCTGTAAGAGATTGTCAGATCGACAGCAACAACCATCTCAAATAAGACTGCTCACATTCCGTGTCACGATCTTGTTCGCTGGACAGTGCTGCAGCTGGCTTATACCACCGTCTTTGGCGTGTACGCATCTGCTCTCTTCCTTCGCACTGGTAAGATGCCTCCTCCATTGTTCCTTGTTGCTCTCACTCCAGCAACCTCTCGTCCTGCAAATGCTCATTTGCCATCCCCATCCCAATCCCCAGGTCACATTATCGCTCCCATTCTTTCGCACAGTCTCTGCAACTACATTGGCTTCCCCGATGTCGAAGGCGTCGCCAACCATCCCCGCAAACACGGTACGTGTCACTCTGATAGACCTGCTGGTTTGCTTACTCACACGCTTACTCACACGCTGACGTTGGGCCTGATACAGTCATCGCTGCTGCATACGTGTTTGGTCTCCTCGGATTTGGCTTGTTGCTGCTGCCTGTCACGTCGCCGCACTACTACCACAGCATCTTTTACGGTTTCCGATAGTTCAACAACTCCGTGCTCGTTCTGTTCCCAACGTGTGCTGTGTGAATTATGAAGTGTGTTTTTGTTCTAGTTGGAAGAGCAAGCATATCTTCAGAATGAAAACAATCAAACAAAAACCTCACCAGACATAAACAAAGCGGAAGAAAAAAAGTACAATCTAACAAACGAGTCACCAAAAGAAGCCAAAAGACTGATCCGGGAATCATCATCATCATGATGGGAGAGAGGGCAATAGAACATGACGGGGGGGGGGGAACAACCAAAGACTGTCGACCTCTGTTCAATCATAGTTTTTCGCGCGGTCGGAAATGAACTTGGCAAACTCTTCAGACAGCTTGGAGTCTTCCTCGTCCCAATCACCGAGATCATCAAGATCGGCTCCGGACATGTACTCGGTGGCACCGCCAGAGTGGCTGCTGCTGTTGTCCGGCGGTTGCAAGAGTGCAGAGGCCGCTGCAGACGTCGAAGCGCCGCTTTGCGAGCTGGAGGCAGAAACTTGGTGGGACGCTGATGATGACTTGAGCGAAGCAGCTGCTGACGCCTTGGACGGCTTGGGTCGCTCGTGGTGCGAGAGGGTGAACGGCACCTTGGCCTTGATATTTCCCAACGCGCGGTGCAGAGTAACATGAACATAGTAATTGACAATCAGGCCCGCGTTCGTATCGGCGCCAGAATGCGTCAGTCGCGTGGTTGCCGCAAGCTTTGGGTCTTCGCCCGTCTCTGTGCTGTCAATCGCAACGTGTCGGACCTCCTTCTTGTCCTGCGCGTTGGGAATGATCGGCTGCAAAGTAAATGTGCGCTTATAGGTTGTGCCCTTTACGATTGGGCAGTCAGCGGTAGACTCGAGGAAGGTCAGCTTATTCTGTTGATTTGGTGTGGGTGGAGTGGGGAAAAGCGGGGAACGTGTTGGGTGAGCACTGGACTGAACCAATGACAATCTACTCCAGGCCAAAGCGTGGAATTCAAAAATCGCTCACCTTATACTTCCAGCTCTTAGGAGCATCCGCCATTTGCAATGTCAACAATTGAATGAGACGGATTTCAATCGACTTGATGTCGCGCGACGTGTTGGCAATCGCCAGTTCGACTTCGATGGGCTCGCCGTGGTAGTACAGATGTCTACTCAATGCGACTTCCACGTTGGGGTCTTTCTTTTCGACCTGAGGTTCAAGTGGAATTGAAAATGGCGGAAGCATGAGTTGAAAGTTGGACGAATCATCATCATCAAGCTGGCGCAAGTGACATCAAAACATACCACAATTTTCGAAATGGACACGCCGTCGGCTGATGCTGGGGTGTGCGGAACCTTCTTGATGGCAAAGCGAGCGGCATGTTTCTTGTTGGGAGCCTCAGCCTGCAGCGAAAGGGAAGTGAAAATGAAGACAACGAAAGCCCAATTCACACACAGGGGTGCGCACTTCTCCCGAAACCTACCACATCCTTCGCCACATAGGCAATCACGTCGTAAAAGACGCCGCAGTTGTCCACGACGCCGTTGGATGACTTTTTCTTCTCCTCTTGGCCAATGGTGAGCAATTGCACTGACGAAGGCAGGTTCGGGCGGAAGCTCAGTGTCGCCGGGAAGGAATTGCGTCCGAGCTTTTTGCACATGCGCTCTTGAAACTTGGTCTGAGAACAACAACCGACGACGCCGCAAGGACAAGGAGAGGTGTGAGAAAACGCCTTCTCCTTTAAAAACAGGTCTGTCTCACTTCAACGAACGAACGAAAACAAAAAAAAAAAAAAAAAAAAAAAAACTTACAATACGCTCGTACTTTTCCGGTGGAGGATAGACGGGCACAGTCACCTCGTACAGCGCCTTCTCAAAGCCGACACCCAACACGTCCCAGTCGTTGTTTCCGTAGCGGAAGCATCCTGTGAGCTTGACAAACACTAGGCAAGGGGAGAAAAATATTCAACCCAAACAACCGTAGCAAAAGCATTTTTGTTTTTGTTCCCAATGATGAGTGAGTGATAATACCAACCTTTCATTTCATTTCCAGACCTCGCATCGTATTTGGTGCAGGTGACACATTTGTGCAATGCGAACATGGCTTTTTTTTTTCTGTTTTTGTTCTTGCTTTGTGTTCAAACTGTGGTTCCAGCACACCCTTTGGGAGCTGCAGGTAACCCCTCCTGCTACGCTCTCCGCTGTGGAACATTGAACATCCCACGGGTTATACTGCACAAATAACCACTGATAGAATGGCCGCATCTCAAAGCGGGGTGGGGTGGTCAACGGAACTCATCCCAACAAACGAAAAAAGAAAAAAAGAAAAAACGCCCTTTTTTTGGAGGGCTTTTCGATCTACATCCCAAAATTCCAAGCCTCTATTTGGGTTGAGTGAGAGACGCTCGAGCTAGTTTGGGAAGTCGGTGCTCTGCTGAGGTCGCTCGGGGGTTTGTCCAGCTGTGCAGACAAGCGCACCATAATTACGAGCTGGCCTCGAGGACCGGGACGCAAAGCGAACGATAAAAAAAAAAAAACGAGAATCAAAAAAAATATCGCTTTTTGATTGGGAAAAAGGGGGGTTCATTGAAGGGCAGCAAGGCGTCTGCCTCGACAACGCAGAGACAAGCACCACTGCGACTGTTGCACCAGCCTCTTGGAATCTTCACCAAAGTGCGAGCCCCGCTTCCGCCGGCCCCCCTTTCTGCCAGAACAAGAGCCCGAAATTGGAGCGGCGAGTTCGTTTTGCTAATCTTCACCATTTTCGTGCTACCATTTTTCGCACGGGCGACGCAAGGGGCGGGGGGTCACGGTGTCGCTCCAGCACCTTGGCGACGAATGCCATCGCTGTCGCTACCACCCCTCCCCATGTACATGCATCGAGCCCAAAACCCAGCCAGAATGCGACCAAAGCGAAAAAAGGGCAAAAAAACAACGAAATGTTAAAAAAAAAATCAACTCAACACAGCGCTTTGCTGCTTCAACGTGAGCTCCGAACTGGGGATTCCCCTGACTCAAAGAGCCCATTCAAGGCCTGATGAACAAGTAAGCTCGGAATAGCCACCGGCGGCCTTCCCAGAGAGCGGCGAAAGGACCAAGCGCCGTTGATTTTTTTTATTATTATTATTTTTTTTTTTTTTTTTTGGTGTGTGTTTCGGCTTGGTTCATGCATTTTGTGTTTTTGTTACCTTTCTTCTCCTTGTTCTTGCGCACAATGTCGTCGATGAGGACGACGGCGTCCACCACATCGACATGCGCGCCGGCGTCGACAAACTCGCGCGTTGGGATGTACAGCGTCAGCTGCTCGTCATACGACTGCTTCTTGAAGACACGGCGCGTGTTGCTGCTCGACTTTGCGCCAGCTGCAGCTCCACCGTTACTCATTGGTACACAGCCGTCAACTTTTCAACCAAAAAAAAAAAAAAAAAAAAAAAAGTAAGAAGAATAAAGTTGTGCTTTAAAAAAAAAAAACGCAGACTGGTTTGATCCTTTTGCTTTGAACAAAAAGGAAGAGAAGCAAAAAGCTGTTTGACTATCGATCATGATTTTTATTAGTTAAGTTATTGTTGTTCTTTGAATCGTACTGCAGTCCATCTATTCTTCTTTTCTATATTTTTTATTTTTCTTCTGTTTGTTTGCTGATGACTGTGGAAGCAGCCGCATCAGAGCCAGTCGCGACGGCGGTGGCTGAGGCGGAGCGCCCCGAGCCCAGCCCTTCCCACACGCATGCCGGCTCCAACGGCAACCTGGCTGCTAGTGCCGCAGGTGCAGAGGACACCGACGATCACCACAGCTACCAGACTCGGTGAGGGGGTTTTTTTTTTTTTTTTTTTTTGGTTTTTTTTTTTTCTGCACAACCTGCAGAATGGATGAAGGGATGAAAGGGGGGAAAGAGGGGAGTTGGACGTAGCGCGACCCCGGCCGGATGCGAGTGCAGGTGTTTGCGATTGCACCGAGTCGGCTTGGGTCTGCTGCTCCTGCGCTGTTCGTGCTCGTTCTCGCGGTCAATGCATTCCCCAAAAGCGAAGCAACATTGAACAAACCGCATTTTTTTTTTTTCGGATTCCATCGATTTCATGGTGAACAATTCATTTTTAAATTGATTCGGCCATACGAAAAGTTCATCAACGGTGGCATTTTTGGTACCTTTTTGAGGCTTTTTTTTTCTTTGATTTTTTTTTCTTTTTTTTTTTTTCAACAAGCCTTCGTTGTCGCTGCAATTCCTGCCGTTTCGCTGCCACGTTGGCGAGTGCTCACCGCCCCGTCGCGAGCGCCCCGTGGCAACATGGCACTGATCAGCAACCCCCAGCGCTTGCGGGAGTGCATCTTGGAATCCACGAACGATGTGTGCTGCCTCAAGCGGATCGTGAGGCTCTTTTTGATTTTTATTGGATTTTGGACCATTCAGGTTCTCTCTCACACACACACGCGCGCGCGCTGTCTCTCACCCTGCGCTGACGCCAGCATCGAGAGGCGAGCGTGTGGACAAGTGCGTCGCGGTGCATTGAGACCCGCGGCCACACTCTCCACGCCCTACTCTCAAACTCGCAGCATTTTCGATTTTCTTCCAGTTCTTTTTTTTTTTTTTTTTTTTTTTTCCTTCTCCTCGCTTCTCAAATGATCACGATTTGACACTTTTTCAAAAAATCCACTTCCCATGCATTGAATTTGCTTGTGTTGGTCTGCTTTGCGTTGCTGCCCTCTTGTATCTCACCCTCCTATCACACATTCCTTTTTGCTTGTTTGGGGCTTTAGCAACGTCGCCGATCTGGTCATGCTGCACAACCTCAGCGAGGACGGAATTGTCGAGGCGCTGCAGGACCGGTTCAAGGCCGATCGCATCTACTCGTACATTGGCGATGTGGTCATCTCGGTCAACCCGTTCAAGCCGCTGGCCATCTACTCGGACGAGGAGATTTTCGCCTACCGAGATGCCTACATTGTCAGCAACAAGGCCCCGCACATTTACGCGCTCGCCAACCGCGCATACCGCAACCTGCTGCGCACCCACAAGTGCCAGTGCATTCTCATCACGGGCGAGTCGGGCGCCGGTAAGACAGAAGCCTCCAAGATCATCATGCAGTTTGTCGCAGTGGTGTCGGGCACACGGCAACAGCAAGTCTTTGATCAGCAGCAGTCGCAGCAGCGAGTCAAGCTCCAGCACCAGCAGGACATTGAGCGTGCGCAGCTCCTCCGCCACAGCATGATTATCACATCCAACACCGACCTCAGCCTCGCGGGCCTCGATGGCCATGATGTGGTCGCTCGTCACAAGAGCCTGGTTTTGGACGGCGAAGCCCACCAGCCCGACCCACACGCGGCACCCATCACTGCGGCCAGCGCTGCTGCTGCTGCTGGTGTTGTCGTGGCCCCGCCCAGCAATCCCAAGCGTCGCCCGCCGCCATTGCTCAACCGCGACGACTCGAGCCAGGAGAGCCACGCCTTCCTCTCGGTGGACGACCTCAACACCACCACGCAGGTGAAGCGTCAACTGCTCGAAAGCAACCCCGTTCTGGAGGCCTTTGGCAACGCAAAGACCTTGCGCAACGACAATAGCTCTCGTTTCGGCAAGTACATGGAGATTGAGTTTAACGTGCGAGGCGACCCGAAGGGTGCGCGAATCCAGACCTATCTGCTGGAAAAGTCGCGCGTTGTTCGGCAGCAAAAGAACGAGCGCAACTTTCACATCTTTTACCAGCTGCTGTCGGGTCTGCCGTCCAGCCAGCTGGAGGCGCTGACCTTGAAGCGTGATCCTACCACCTACAAGTATTTGAGCGAGAGCGGCTGCTTTACGCTCGACAATGCTGACGACGCGCGGGACTTTAAGGCCACCGTGCATGGTATGCAGGTGGTTGGCTTTTCCGAGGAGGAAATTGCCGACACCTGGCAAGTGCTGGCTGCCATTCTAACCCTCGGCAACGTCGAGTTTTCCTCGAGCGGCAAGCGTGTGGGTGGCGATGCGGCCTCCGACGCTGCTGCGACAGCCTCGGGTCTCCTGAACGTGGCCACGACCACTGTCTTCCCGTCCGAAGCCGCCAAGCTGCGCGCTGCCGAGGCCGCAAGCGCCAAGGACAAGGATCTCCGGCCAGTGCTGGCCACGGCCGACACGTTTGCCACCGTTTGCAAGCTGCTCGACGTTTCCGAGAAGGACTTGCTGAATGCACTCACCTTCCGCACCATGACCGTCGAGGGCCAGACCAAAGAAACGTACAGCATTTCGCTATCAGTGGCGGATGCGCACGACACACGCGACGCACTGACCAAGGCGCTGTACATGAAGCTCTTCTCGTGGCTTGTCGATCGCATCAATGCCAACATGCAATGGAAGTCAAACCGCGTGCGTGACGGCAAGAAGCTCATCATTTCCCTGCTCGATATTTATGGCTTTGAGATTTTCCAGTCGAACGGCTTTGATCAATTCTGCATCAACTATTGCAACGAGCGTCTCCAGCAACTCGCCATCCACCTCACCCTTGAAAGCGAGCAGCGCGAGTATGCCGAGGAAGGCATTGCGTGGGTGCACATCGAGTACTTTGACAACCAGGCCATTTGCGCCCTGATTGAAAAGAAGCCCGTGGGTGTCATTACGATTCTCGACGAGGAATGCCTCCTGCCCGACAAGACCCCGAACACGTTTGTTCGCAAGCTGGGCGAGAACTGCAGCAGCCATCCCCACTTTGCCTCCCACAAGATCTCTGGTGGTAACTCTGAGTTTACGCTGCGCCACTACGCTGGCGATGTCAAGTACCTCGCCAACGACTTTTTGCGCAAGAACAAGGACTTGCTCTTCAACGACCTCGTGTCTTTGCTGCGCCAAAAGTCAAATTCGCGCATCATTAGCAAGCTGTTTGCCGAGCAAGCTGAGCCTGCTGCGGCTGTTGCCAACGCCGCAGCCACGGCTGGCGCGTCTTCGCTCTCCAACGCAGCCGCTCCGGGCTCCCCGCGCGCGGATGTCGACGGCGCTGCTCCCATGTCGCCTGGCTTTGGTACGCACACGGCAAAGTATGCCCCGGGCTCTGCGCTGGCCGCGTCCAAATTCCGCGAGCTCGACGCTGCCTCAGCCGCGTCCTCCAAGCACAACAGTCCGGCCAAATCGCCCCAGCAATCAGCCCGCGCCTCCCGCACGTCTGTTGATATGGGACAGGGCAAGTTGCCTCTGGGCTCCACGTCCACGGCAGTGAGCGCAGCCGCTGGTGCGTTCGGAGGCTCGCGCCGGCGACCAGAAACGCTCGCAGCGCAATTCCGCACGCAGGTGACCGCCCTGATGAAGACGCTGGCCGAGAGCTCGCCCCACTATGTCCGCTGCATCAAGCCCAATGACACCAAGTCGCCCGGTGTTTGCGATGTGGTCTTGCTGCGCAACCAAACGCGCTACTTGGGTTTGCTGGAAAATGTCAAGGTGCGTCGCGCCGGCTATTGCTTCCGTCAGTCGTACCGGGCCTTCCTTGGTCGCTACAAGATGGCTTGCCCCGATATTTGGCCAGTGTACGTTCCTGGAGGCAGCGGGCCCGTCCCGGCGGATGAGCACCCACGCGACAAGCGCGCGCAAGAGCATCGCCGCGCTGCCGCCCTTGCTGCGGTGCTCGCAACAGGTCGCACGGCTGCCGAGCTCGACCGCGAAGCCGTCGAGCGACTCATGCTTCACCTCGATATTGCACGAACCGAGTATGAGTTTGGCAAAACCAAGATTTTCATCAAGGAGCCCGTCACGCTTGTCAAGCTGGAACGGATTCGCGAACGCCATCTTGGTTGGACGGCTACCCTCATTCAGACGGCCTACCGCGGCTTTGCTGCCCGTCGTTGGTACAAGCGTGACCGCTCGACGCGGCTGGTGCAGACCGTTTGCCGCGGGTTTTTGGCCAGGCTCCGCGTCAAGCGCCTTCGTGCCGCCATCGCCCTCCAGACGGCGTGGCGACGATGCGCTCAACTTCGGTGGTACAAGCGTTACCGCGCTGCCACCGTGCTTGCTGCCACCTTCCGCGGCCACCGCGATCGCAAAGAGTACAAGAAGTTTTGTGCAGCGCGCTCGCTGCAGTCGACGTGGCGCATGTTCCGCGATCGGGTCGTGTTCCTCAAGGTTCGCACCCAATTGCGCGCTACTGTTATGCTGCAAAAGCACTTCCGCGGCTACCAGGTGCGCAAGAACTTCCACAAGATCAAGGCGGCGGCCGTCATTCAACGATATGTGCGCCGCTGGCTCTTCCGACGCACGCTCGCTGCCACATTCATCCAAAAATCGTGGAAGATGGTTCGTGCTGTGGCTGCCTTCCGTCGCACGCGCCGCAGCATCCTCCTCATCCAGGCCGTGTATCGGTTGCATCGTGCTCGGTCCGCCGCAATTGTCATCAGCAAAGTTTGGCGTGGACATCGCGTTCGCGCTCGCGTGGCCAGGTGGCGCACTGCGCGCAACAAGATTGTGCGATTTTACCGCATCTCCCGGTCACGCAAGTACTTTGTCCAATTGGACCACGCGTTTGGCCAGTCGCTGCCGCGCACCCCGTTGCCAGCGCCGCCGACCGTCATGAAATCGTCCTGCACAGTCCTCCGTCTCGAATCTCGCTGGCGCAGCGCAATCGCTCGCCGTTATATTGCCGCCCTCACACAAGAGCAAGTGGACATTTTCCGCAAAAAAGCCCTGGCATCCGACATCTTCCTCGGCCGAAAGGAGAACTACAGCCTGTCCGTCAAGCATCCCTTCCAGAGCGATTACTTGCAGCTTGACAACCCGTTGCAAAAGCACACCAAGGGTTGGCGCAAGCTGGCGTTTGGTGGTAAGTGGGCAGTGTGTTGGGAGGGGGGTTTGTTTTGTTTTTTTGTTGTTGTTTTTTTTTTTTTTTTTTGTTAATGTTGTTTCGACTTGTTGGCGGTTTCCTTTCATCCACTAGGCATTCTCGAGCAAAACATGATCAACACCGAACTCATGTTCTCGGATCATGTCAACAAGCTCAACTCCAAGTTTTCGGTCGACCCCGCTACCATCATTGTCACGCGCGACACTCTGTACCGATTGCACCCCAAGAACTTTAAGCCCAAGACCAAAATGCGCCTTGTGGATATCAAGTTGCTTGCTCTCAGTCCATTTGCTGATGATTACGTTTTGCTGAGCACTCATGGTGAGGATCGTTGTTGAAGCGAGCCGAAGTGGCGTATTTTGCTCTTTTTCTGTTTTTCTGTGTTTCTTCTTCGTTCCGCTCACTCACCGTGTGTCACTTCTTTCTGGACAGATTCGCATCTCATTATTGATTGCAAGCGCTATGTCGAGCTTGTCACGGTCCTCTCGACCCTTTATCGCAAGATCAAGAACGAGCATTTGCCAGTTTCATTCACTACTCGGTACGATTCAACGTCACTGACACTCGGTTGGCTGTTCTATGCGCTTGCTTTTTTTTTTTTTTTTTTTTTCGTGTTATTTACATTGGCATTGTGTCTCTCGACCGTTTCGAACCACCGTTTGGGATTGCAACAAACAGCGAGGATTTTAGCGCCGATGGCCATAAATGGACGGTCAGCTTTATGGCTGCCGAGAAAATCACCGAATCCAAGGTCACAATTCTCGAAAAGAAAAACCACGTGTCGATTCAATGCCCCGTGCGTGCGTCGGCATCGTCGTTTAATCTCTTCCTCAATGCGGCCGCAGCAACGGTTGCCGCTGGCACTGCTGGCCCCTCAAGCGAGGGTGCTGGTTTGACGTCGCCAAGCAGCGCACGCACTCTACATGCTTGATTCTGCTTTTTGTGGGTGTTTTATGCGCTATTGTAGTCGTTGTAATGATTGCTGTTTTTTTCTTGTTTTTTTGGTGCAAACAAAATCGCTTGTTTGTTTTTGTTGTTATTCGAACAAATTAGTTGTTTCATTTGTCTCGCAATTTCTTTCGTTGTAATTGTTGCTGTTCAAGTCGCTCGTTTCGCTCTTGCCTGTGAACAAATGCGCACGTGAGAACTTTGATTTGAAAAGTGATAATCAGCGATCTTGAGGTACAAGTTCCAAGCAACAAAACTAAAACAAAAACAGCAAGAAAGGCAAAACAATGTATTGGTGGCGCTGCTTCAGATCAAGTGTCATGCGCATGTGCAGTGCTGTGTGTTTATGCAGTTGGGCCTCTGTTGATGGGTAAAGGTTAGCGTCGGGTGATGAATGCCAATCTTTCAAACACACAAAGTATCGGTCACTCACTCTCCTCCAGGAACCAACTGTGATCGCGCAGATGCAGCAGTGCGACAGCATGCAATGATTCGAGTATTCCAGGTGAAGCAAGTGAGTATGATGTGACCAGGGGGACGACGCAAAACTGACACTCAACCTTACCAAGCAAATGTTGTTGCCGTTGAGAAGAATCTGGTCCAGGTGCGTGGTCTTGCGTCCATCCGCCGTGATTTCACTGAGAGATGCATGAGGTGTTTTAGCAGGAGTAAGTCACGCAATATAGATCACACTCCGACGCCACACATGAATTCAACATGAAAAAATCACAAAATACAAACAATTCACTTACAACTCGGTAACATCCTCGAGCACCATGTCTGTCGGTTCATAATAATCAATAGTTTCCAAAGCAGAATTCAAACACAGACGAACAGCAACAAAAGCACGCAAGCAGGCAAGCAAGTGGAGAACGTCAAGGAAGTGACGACTTGAACGATGAATGAAAACCAAAAGGCAGAACAGCAGCAAGCCAACAACTCGACCAATGCCAGATGCAACAAAGCGCCATCAGGCATGCAGAACATGCAACAACATTTCATGAGGACATCAGCATTGCAGAGTGAGCTGGGGGGGAGCCGATGCTGACAAAGTCGTCAAATCCAAGCAGTGTTCCGACGAGCTCCTTCTCTGACTTCATGACGATGTGGATGCGCGATCCAATGCACTTGTCGATCAGCTCTGTTTGTGTGAGACGAGTGGGTGCATTGATGAGTTGTGAGCCAGGACGCGAGGAAGCGAGCCAAATTTCAATGGCAAAGCACAATGGTGATAGCCCCCCCCCCTGGCCAAGCGTGATGCGTTGCACGAGATGAGGAGCAACATCGAGAGTGGTATTAGATTGGAAGCCACTTGTTGAGTTTGTGGGCGCGTTCGGAAGTGGGCGGGCCAATGAAGGCTGAGGACACTGACCCAGTGGGAGCATGTGCGATGGATTGACGACGTCCTCAGAAGCCATAGTGTATGAGAGTCAATAGAAAAATAACAGGAGTGATAAAAGTAAGTGATAAAGGTAGCAGGAATTCAAGTAGCTGGGAAGAAATGAGAAAAACAAAGGGAAGGAAATTGAACAAGGATTTTGGCTGGAGCAGCATTGGAAAATCTGGGAGAGTTGCTTGGAGCTCAGGTATCTGGCTGGCATTGCGAGTTGGAACGGATTGGATGCATTAAACTTGATCAGCTGTGAGTATTTTATGTGTTTGAATGTTTGTTTGGCGTTGTAAACGTGTGGAATCGAGAGATTGGGGTCAAAATCGAGCGAAAAACGCTCCGAGCCCAAGGTCAGGCAAGAATTCACTGAATGGAGCTCACATTACCTACGTTCTGCTGTACAATTCAAGTGGTTGTGGACTTGATCATTAAACCTTACATTAATTATCATGTACATTCATTTTGCAACTTGTCACGGCGATCTGAGCCTGCAAACAATGCAGTGGTCGAATTGGCGTTGTCTCGAAAATGAACACGATCAAACCCTGGGCAACTCTCAGCGTGATTATCACGAACGCAATAAAAAGTCATAGAAAACCATATCTCCAATCAAATGATCACATCCGCAAGCGTACAGAATGCTCCACTACCAGTGGTACGGGCGTTGCAGTAGGACGCTTTGTTTTGGCGGCAAAATCCGCACTCACCTGACCAAGCTACACTCAGCAGCAGACAAAATTGTCCGGATCACACATTACACTTGATAATACACATACACACTATATCCAGATGACTGGTCGAGCTCAGTCACAGTTATTGCATGCGTCGGTGGTGGCGATGCTGACGATCAGTCGACGCGTGGTTGGACGCACCTTGTCGCGCTGCTGGGCGCCATTGCCGACTGCCACTCGCGATGCAAAGTCACACGGCACCCGTCTCTGCATCATCGATAGCAGATGTGTCTCGACGTTGAGCGGACCTGTCATTCGCCGATCTCAGCACAATCCACAACTCGTCGACCTGACTCGGGCTGGTCCAACGTTCCATCCGGAAGGTCTGGTGGTCATTCCCGACGCGATCTCACAAGAAGAGCACGATGCGCTCGTGGAAGATGTGCGAGGACCACTTCGCCGAATGCGGCTCGGTATGTGTGATGATGTTGTGACCAAAGTCGAGGCGCGACCAAATGAAATTTCTCAGAACTTTGCTGGGGGGAAACGGCAGTATTACATGCATTGAATCCGATGATCAAAGTCGTATGTACAGTCCTTGGCGGCTGTCTCTTGATCCGGAACAAGAAGCACGACACGCACAATTTTTTTGGAAAACGCCCTGACCGACTTTACTTGAATTGGACAGAGCTCAACCACTTTGACTCTGTGATTCGCGGATACAAAGAAATTACATTTTCCAAGTGGGCGCTGCCGGGGTCGCAGACTGTGATTGCACGAGTGCTCGCGTCCGATTTATTTGCGCCAGGCACTCAACTGCACCCAAACCAACATGTGTTGGAGCTTGCACCCTCTGGTTACATTGCTCCACACATTGACAACGTCGAAGTAAGCACATGCACGAATGATGCTCGCTTTTCTGACTGTTCCCGGGAGCGAAAATGACGATGAACACTGGTTTATGGCCCACTTTGCGCATGACAGGCTTGCGGCGAGTATGTCGCAGGAATTTCGCTATTGTCGGCCAGTGTTATGCGCTTTACATACAAGGATGAAGAAGTGCGTATTCTGCTCGAGCCACGGTCGATTTATTGCATGAGGTAACTGAAAGCGTGTATCTTTTTGTTTTGTCGTTTTCGGGCTTGGCTTGAGTTTGTCGAACTGACACTCATTTCCGAACTCTCGATACATTCATCTGTGTACTTGAATCTTTGCTAGCCATGCCATGCGCTACAAATTTAAACACAGCATTGTATGCAACTCTAGTCCACCAGAAATCTTTGGGTCGAGGTCGATTGTGCGCGATCGTCGCATCTCTGTTTTATTTCGAGACCAACCCAAGCCAGTTCCACCAGAGATGATGAGCGATGAAACCGATCCATAGGCATGGCATGGCATGGCACGGCAGGGCATTGCGAGCGCTGCTCCTTTGGTGATAAGGTTTCCTCACAATTCAATAAACTCCAAAACGCACCCACGTCTCAGTCATATTCTTCTACTCGAGTCGAGCCAGTATTACTTATGTCTTCCAATCAAGCCAAGAAGGGCGGGTTTGCTGCCACCAACCCGGACCGCCAGCAAGAAATTTACAAGCTGATGGGCGTCTACCAAGCCAAAGGCATGGATGGTACGTCAACTCGCGCTGACGCATAAGTTTTTTGGCTATTGCAGCGAGAAAAATAGGACAACAGGAATCGGGGAAGAGGCGGGGGGCATCAGTTGAAACAAAGCGACGTGCACGGTGAGCGAGAAGAACGCGCTCATGGCACGACGTTGTTCTGTTCTCTAGCCGACGGCATGCAACATGTCAGTGAAGCGCTACTAATCCCCGCGTCATTGTGGATGGAACGAGCGCCATTCAAAACCCCGGAGAAAAAGACCGACAAAACTGACAATAAGAATTAAAAACAAAAAGTCGCTACGTTTTTCTTTCAAGTCTCCGTGATGACGAGCACACAAAAGCACACCGACTTCCATCTCCATCCACTCTACAAGAATCAGGCACAAGTATTCTAACACGTCTCGCCAAAGGAGCACGAGCAGGCTAGGGAATGGATTGTCGTCGTCGGTCATCCAGCGTTCATTGTCGAATCGCTATTTTTTTGTTATTGTTTTTCGTTCGACTTTTTCTCCCTTTCGGAATTTCAGTAACGATGCCTCTTCTTCATCACAAACGAATCGATGGACATTAATTTGATGCACAACGGTATGAATTGGAACAAACCAAACCAAATTTGACCATCGTTCTTGTTTTTTGTTTTTTTCCTGTTCCGACAATACACAGATCCGGTCATTCGTGCGAACTGGGATTACCGCAACATGTCCGAGTTCCACGCTCCGCGCCAGAATGCCGTCTCATTTGAGATTGGCGTGCACGGGGGCATGGCCAAGCCCGAGCGTCGCGCTTCAAGTGAGCAGCTCCCTGCGGCGCAGGACGTTCTGACAACCAGCATGGGTGCGCCAAGTCTCATCCCGACTGGGATTTCCCAATCGTCCGTCAAAGGATCAGAGATGGTTCCTCCTCCTGCGAGCCTTGCGAACACTAGCAAGTCTACCTGGCAGGGTCCTTCAACCGTTCGCAATTAAACCCAGTGGCAATCGACCCGCTCCTCGGTTTTCGGTGTTCATGCGTTGTTTGATCTACTTGGTCCCGATTGGCAAGCGCGTGCAGGTGCACGCTTGCGGGGGTGGGGTGGGGTGAAAATGGTTGTTCCAAGCCGTCTGGAATGGTGTGAATAGAAAAATGTCTTTTTTGGTGTTGCAAGACAACAATAAACCATTCAAAAGGTGGGGATAATTTATGATAACAAAACACAAGAATAACAAAACAACACTGCGCCACAAAAATGCCAATCGCAACTACGAGAGTTAACTAGTTGCTTTAGTCGTCGAGACTACCGAAGGCTGGCGTGCCAGAGACGGGGGAGAAGCGAGCGTGCGAGGGACTGGGGTGCTCGGAACGGAGGAGGATGCTTGTCGCTTGAGCTGCGGCGAAACCCCGCCGGCAGCAGAGGCCATTGCTGCGGCAGACAAGCGCACCATGCTGGGCGTGAGGGTTCGGCGGATCGGACGAAGCTTGCTCGCCGCGCCAGTACCCTTGATATTGGCCGCCCGCATGCACATGACAAAGAGTAGCGGAGCCAGGAAGATGACCCAGACTGGCATGAGCAAGTTGAATAGGTGATAGAAGACGGTGGTAACGTCCAACTGGGAGATGGCAGCAATGGCCTCAGACTTGGCTGCGTGCCTGGAGGCAATGCCAACGAGCCCGTAAAGACAGGTTTTGAGGAACGCTGGAAGGAGCACAAATACATAGGCACCACCTAGGGCGAGCGGCACTCGTTGGAAAAACGAAAATCGCTCCAGTGCACCAGACAGGTATCGACGGTTGGCAAGCCAAGCCACCAGGCAGCCAAAGACAAGTGGCGTGTTGGACCAGTTCAGGTTCAAGTACATGCGGCTTGCACCAGAGCCCGGCCGGAGTCCACAAACGGTCTCCATGTTGGATTGCCAGTCGGCCTCGAAGGCTGGCGGCCACAGCTCCACGAGCGTGTCAAGGGCTAGCGTCAGCAGAGTAGCACCAATGACAATCAGCGCAATGCTGCGGCTGCTCGGTTGGAGGCGGAAACGGGTGTATCGGCGGTAGACTTGTTCCTCGCCCTTCGCATAGACGACGAGACAAAGAATAGCACACGTCCATCCAACGACCAGATCGGCAATAGTGTGCGTGCCGATATACTGCACGCACCAAAAGATGAGCATTTGGTACAAGATGGTCACGAGGAGCAGCCATGGACGTTTGAACTTGAGCAACAAAAAGCCAAGCGCGGTCAAGCTGACCATCGAGTGACCCGATGGCAGCGAATAGCCCTTGCCGCAATAGAATGCCTGATACGACGTGCAGAGCCAAAAGCCTCTTGGCGATCGAATAATGTTCTTGGCCAGACTTTTGATGGCAAAGCCAATGGCCACGAATGCGACTGCCGACGAGCCGTGGCGCGAGTCATACAGCCACAGGACGACGGCACACAACAAGAGCCAAAACTTGGACGTGATTCGGTTGTGAATCATATCGGTAAAGTCGTCCACCAGCTTTGACCGCTGCGTATCATGCAGATACTGGGTGATGGTGCAGCCAGTGGCCTGGATCTGAACTCCGGCTACTTGTATCAACAAACTCTCCAATAGTACCAGAAATACGGTCCAGAGGAGGATCTTGTTGAGGGAGATTCGCTTCACGTAGGCAAATGCTCGGAAAACGAGTTCTGACGGGCGTTGCAGAAACAGCTGTACGGGGTGTGTTGATGCGTACATGCTGCGAGCAGTGCTCGCGTTTAGTAGTGGGTATTGAACCAGCAGCTGGTCGAGCATAATCTGCGGAGCAATAGAGGAGAGCGAGCGAGAGAGCGAACAAAGGAGCGAGTGAGCGAACGAGTAAGCAAGCGGTCTCTCGAGGATGCTTGTTTCACTCCCGACTTACTTGTGAATCTTGGAGCAACTGTGGGAAGAAATTGGAAGTGTAAAAGTGCTGTCCAGCCACGAGCGGCATAAATTCAGCTTTGAGGACTGACTTTGTGTTTTTGTCGTCTGCCAAACAGATAGAGACCACTTGCCCAGTCAGACCTGCACTGCGACTTCCACCAAATGCGACAGCAGGACAGACAACCATCACTGCAGCTTACACTTCTTGAGAATCTTGACAAACGCAGTGTAGTTGAGTTGTCCATACTGCAAGAGCTGCCGTAGCTCTTCCACAAAGTCGTAGAACGCAACAAAGACATCCGCGGCATTCGCTTGCGACGTTCGCGAGTTGAGCTGTCGTGTTGAATGTTGAAAAGCAGCGAAGAAGGTGCGGTGGGAGGAGAACGTGAGTGAGTGTGCGTCATACGGAGACAAGGAGAGGTTTGCGGTGTGTTCAGAATGGGTAACCACACAAACCTTGCCACGAGTTTCCAACGAAAACGCGACAACTGCCATCGCGTCAACACGAACACACACAAACACATGCATCCGCAACGAGAGCGAGACGATGATTTCTGTCCGAGCTCGACTTTGACACGAATCGACATAGGGACCCCAGCGGTTTCAAAACCTTACCAGCATATGCGCCTGGCTCATTAGATGACGCTCAAAGTGCGCCTTGCACTCGTCTTCCTTGAGCTGGACAAAGTCGTTGATCTTGCCGAGCTCGCCCAGAATGAACTTGCGAAAGTTCTGCTGCTCGGTCGCGCGGTGGACTCTGGCTGCCTCCACCGCAGCCGTGTGGGTGCTGCTGTCGGTTGTGCTGTCATCGGACTCTCCGGACGCGGCGGCTCGCCTGGCTGCACGGTACGCCTGCGCCGCAGCCACCACGCGCTTGATGAACTTCTTGCCAGACTTGTAGTCAAAGTACTGGTCGGCCCAAGCCGGGAAGCTGGTCTCTGCAATCGTGCGGCCGAACTTCATTCGTTCTGCGTCCCTCGAACCCTGTTTCGCCCTATTTTTGTGCTGATGGTGGTGAGCCTTTTGGTTTTTCGCTGGGCCTCCCGCACCACCAAAAGAGCAAGGGCAGAAGGAAGTGCAAGAAACCTGGACCGCAGGGCTTTTGCTTGGAAGCGACAATGGGGGGGGGGGGGCCCAACGAGGCTGAATTGGGAGAAGAAAAGGAAGGCGGTTTTAACCTTTTTTTTTTTTTTTTTTAACAAAGCGTCAAAAAAGAAAAGGAGTGTTAAAGTAAATTGGAGATTTTGAGCGACGCAGGAGTGTGGATGGGGAGTCCGTGTGTGAGTGAGCGAGAGAGCGATCTGTGAGTGCAAAATAAACAAAGCGGGAGGGGGAAAAAACCAAAGGGAGCACAGACGAGGGGAGAAGAGGAGCGGCGGAGGGCAGGGTGGACTTTGACTCCGGTCGCTCCATCACGACCAGCACAAAAACAGAGCAAATCTCCATGGTCGCATGAGCTGCGAGCTGACCTCCGAGAAAAAAAAAGAAAAAAAAAAGACAACAGTGAACGCACGCCACAGTGGCGAAACGGGGACGAGTAGACCCCACGGAAGCGACCAAAATGCCCCAATCCTCAGAACGGTTCCGTTCGTCGAATTCGCCGCCAAGGTTTCTTGCTTTGGGGTTCGTCGCGAGCCACCACCACCCCTTCCACCAGGACGCTCGCCCAAAAAACCCAAACACAACCCCAAGCAGCCACCACCAAAACTTTGTCCTGCAATGGAACGAGTCGACCAAGGCTGATCCATACCGAAAAAAACAAGGAAACCCACAAACAACAATCAAACACCAAAAAATAAAAAAATAAAAAAATAAAATAAAATGAGTGGCTCGATCCTCGAAATTTGGCAACGAGATTCGAGCTGTTGACGAGGCGTACGCTCGGCTCTCAAGTTGAAAATAAGGGTGTACGGGTGCCTTTTCGCCAAAGCGAGCAGAGGCGGTTTGCGGAAAGAGGATAACGATGCGGAAACAAGTTTTCGATTGGGGACCAATCCCGAGCGTTTTCGGTCCAACGTGCCGGTCATGCTGATCTTTACAACGTTGAGGTGCAGCACACCTCACTGTCTTTGACCCCCTCCTGGAGCGACAGAAAATCCCCACTGTGACGCAGCTAAATACTCCCAAAGCTTCCGCAAGCCAAAAGCACCCTTGTTCAAAGCGTCAGTGTAAGCGAAGAACCGATTCAAATTGTGCTTCAAAAAAAAAAGTCCCAACACGATAAACCAAAGCAAAGCTTTTTAATCTTGAACGCACCTGAAGCGCAGTGCCTCTCGCTCACACGCCTATCAGTCGCAAGCGACAGTGGCGTGACCAGATTAACTGGGTGTCCACCCTCGCGAGACGCCGATCCTGTTGCTTGTGATTTGGTTGTGAAAAAACAACAACAAAAAACGAAAATCTGTATTGTTTGTTTTTCAACAAAATGAAAATAACTTTCCTCGTCATGCAATCTCTGCTTGGGAGCGCAAAAAGGACTTTGAAAACTCAAACGCAACAAAGGCAGCGCCGTTGGCTGGGAAGGCACGGAGGATGCATGGCGAAAGGCCGACAAAGAGCCCTCGCCAGCCGGACTCTTGCAGCGAAACGCGGAAGCAATGCACTAGGCCGCGATACCGCGGTGATTGCAGATCGTCGCATTGCACTTTGGATTTGAGCAAGTCGATCGGATAGATAAACGTCCAGTACAGCATGCCAGTCAAGCCGCCAGACATGATGATGCGCTCTGTTTCGGGCCTGGTTGCTGGATAGTGGGTCTTGAACATTTCGTACGCCCCAAAGTACATGACGTTGCCGGGACACTCGCGCAGCATGGTGACGTTCAACCCAATAAACAAACCGCGGATGCCGCGTTGCTGCACCACCTCACGCAACATCCCCATTGGACCAAGCTGCGTTGCTGTTGTTGTTGTTGTTGCTGTTGTTGTTGCAGCGGATGCCGCGGAGGAGGCAGCCGAGGCCTGCATGCTGGAAAACAGCCTCCGTTGGCGTGTCCGCGCGGAAACATCAGCCTGAAATGACTGCAGAGCGCAGCTGCGACAGCATGGCTGGCTGATGGGTTACGGAACGGAAATGCTGCTGGTGATGGTGTCTTTGCCATCCTGAGGTGGCGGACGAATACGACCTGCTGGGCACATTTGTTGAAACAGCAGGCTGACCAGCAGCAGGTGCAACAAACCTGGTTGAGGAGGACGCAGTTATGGAGGAGGCGACCGATTTGCTGTCGTACTGGACCTGGAGACGTGCCTTGACGAGCTCTAACGGACAGTAGAGGAGGCTTTCCAGCGCACCAGTGGCAGTGCACGAAAGCACAAAGTTGGCTGTGCTGAGTTGCCCCGTTAACGGATTGCTCAAGCGGCTCTTAAACTCTTCAAAGGTGCCAAAGAGAATGGAGTTGAATACGATCGAAGCGACCAGCGGCGAGCTCATGCCCTTGAAGAGTGCTCGCACGCCCTCCTTGCGGATGGTCTGCTGCAGGCAGTCATACGGACCCTTGAACAGCGGGTTGGTGACGGATTGAGTTTGCAAGCGCACTGTGCGATGAAAGGGTGGATTAGCATTCAGAATAGTGAGTTGTTGTTGTTGTTGTTGTTGTTTGCGACTCTCGTTTTCCAACACTTCCAAACGTCAAGTCACGTCGATCAGTGTGGGTGAGAGAGTGACCATGACCATGACCATCGGATCGGAGGTGAACCAAAAGAAGTCAGTGCTGAACGGATTCGCCCGTTCCTAAAAAGCACCGTCCTAGCTGCTGCTGCTGCGGCTGCTGCTGCTGTTGCTTGCTGCAAATCAGAACCATAGCCACAGCGACCAGAATCGCAGCAACGGCATTAGCGTTGTCAGAGTGCGAGACAGCAGTCGGAAGATCGAGGAGTGCGAACCGAATCAACAAAAAGAGTCATGCCAATGAACGTCCAGCACCAGTCCACGCTCCCCATAGCACATGCAAACACACACACACCCTCCTCTTCCGCCATGCCATCCGTGTCAAAGTGTGTGTGCAGCAGCAGCAGCGAGCGTGCACATTTTGGCGGGAAAAACCACAAAGCAATAGAACTATCAAAAAAAAAAAAAAAATAAAAAATAAAAAATAAAAAAAATGCAGTTCCGTTGATGTTCGCTTTGTACCTTTGATGGTGTCGAAAGGGTGGCCGATGAGCGACTGGGCAATGCCTGCAAAGCTGCCAGAGATGAAGTGGTCCATCTTGGAGAAGCGCGGCTCGGCGTGCGGCAGGTGGCTGTGGTGCGGCGGTCCGCCGTGGTCGCTCAAGTCCGACATGGAAGACGTCAACGCGGTTTCGGTCTCGCTCCCCATGTGTGTGTGCTGCGCTTCAACGCTCCAACAGTGGAACAGACGTAGTTGATGCGTGTGGGTGTGTTAATAATGTGTCGTAGTATGAAATGCCAGACGATGACAATCAAAGAAAAAACAAAAAACAAGACGAGTGGCAGGAATAGGAAAATGGATTGAAAAAACGCGGGAAAAAGACGAATTTTAAAGAACTGAGTCGGTTCGGTTTTGCTGAGTCGGTTTGAAGATCAGAAACACCTGTTGAACGTTTGTTACAAATTCTGGTTGCTGTTTTTTTTGGTTGGTTTGTTACGTTTTGCAAGTCCCAAAAACGATTGAATGAAAGCAACGGCAAGAGGCAATGCTTTCCCACTGATTTTTCATTGTCAATCACGATGATCACTTTTGCTTTTCCCTTCTTTCTGTTTTTTTTTTTGACTTTGATTGAGTTTGCTCCTTTGCTTGTTGTTTGCATTGCATCGCAGTCGTTGTTCTTTGTTCTTGATCTTGTCACAGATGGAAAGGTAAAAGTGAAAAACGTAGAAAAAAAAAAAGCGCTAAAAAACAATGTGGCTCGATACACGAACGGTTGAACCAATAAAGACCAAAAGTCACTCCCACCACCCGAAACAAGAAGCGTAGATCTCGACTGCCAGAGTGTGCTGCTTGAGCGACAAAGCCCCAAACACACTAGAGGCCACTGAGAAAGCGACCGGAGAGAAAAAAACAAAAAAACGGGGCTGTGGCTGAACTGAGCTTGCTTGATCGCGCTGACCTTTCCCATCGAGACTGACCCTCCCGCCGTATGTGTGTGTGTGTGTGTGTGTACCGATATCACGAGAGTAGCACAGACAACGAATCGCTCTTGTCCAGGTCGGCTATGTCGCAGGGACAAGGGAAGGGCCAGCCCAACAAGCCGCGCGCCGGAAGCTCGTCCAGCGGAGAGCGACAGCTCAGTCGCAGCGGCAGCCTCATCAAGCCCATCCCGGGCAGCCCGATTGGAGACGACGACGACCTCGAGTCTGGCCCGATTGAGCCGGATGTTGGCTGCTGCGATCCGCGCAAGTGGTGGTTCCGCTGGATGATGCTCGTCTTCATCTCCTTCCTCGGCTTTGGCAGCTACTTTGTGTATGACATTCCCGCTGCACTCGAGAGTGACATTGAGCACGCAATGAACGTAAATGTTGCGCAGTACAGCTTGCTGTATGCTCTGTACTCGTGGCCCAACGTCATTTTGTGCTTTTTCGGCGGCTTCCTCATCGATCGCGTCTTGGGTGTCGCCTGGGGCTCCATCCTCTTTGCGGGTTTCGTCCTCCTGGGCCAGGCTGTCGTTGCCATTGGCGCGCAGAGCAACCTCTTCTGGCTCATGCTTGCAGGCCGCTTCATTTTCGGCATTGGTGGTGAATCGCTCGCCGTCGCTCAGAACAACTATGTCGTGCGCTGGTTTAAGGGCAAGGAGCTCAACATGGTCTTTGGCATCCAGCTCAGCTTTTCGCGTGTCGGCTCCACGGTCAATCTCAACATTATGAAGCCCGTGTTTGACTCGTTCAGCAACATTACCCCTGCGTATTCCCAGCTCGGCGCGGCCATGTGGTTTGCCGCGCTGTTCTGCGGCCTCTCGCTGAGCTGCGCAGTCATTCTTCTCTTTTTGGAGCGCAGGACTGACCGCGTCATCAAACGCGATGTCGGCGGCTCGGACGAAAAGGTCAATCTCAAGGATGTCAAGGACTTCCCTCTGTCCTTGTGGCTCCTCTTCATCATTTGCGTTGGCTACTATGTCGGAGTCTTCCCCTTCATTGGTCTTGCTCTGTTAGTACATTCGCGTCTTTTCGTCTTTGTGAACTGCATGCAACTCATTTTTGACTCGTTTCTTCACAACAACTACTCCTCAGCGTCTTTTTCGAGTCCAAGTACTCGGTCGACTCGGCAACCTCGCACGCGCTCACTAGTATCGTGTATATCATCTCCGCAGCCGCTTCACCCGTTTTCGGCTTGCTCGTCGATCGCACTGGCCGCAACCTCACCTGGGTTATTGCAGCCACTGCCGTCACAGTTGGCTGCCACGTCATGATGGCCTTCACCTTCATCAACCCCTATGTGCCAATCATCATTATGGGTTTTGCGTACTCTGTGCTGGCCTGCGCGCTTTGGCCCATCGTCTCGCTGGTTGTTCCCGAGCACCAGCTTGGCACCGCCTACGGCTTGTAAGAACCAAATTTTTGTGGGGGCTTGCTTTGCGGGTGGTACGTCCGTTCCTTGGCACACGCATTGACCTCTTTTTGTTCAACCTCCTTGGACTGGTAGCATGCAATCGGTCCAAAATCTCGGTTTGGCCGTTGTTGCGCAAGGCGCCGGTATCTTGGTCAACTCGAACGGATATCTTTGGCTCGAAATCTTCTTTAGCATCTGCGTGGCCTTGTCAGTGCTTGCCTCCATCTTGCTCTGGTTGGTGGACGATGCGTCTGGTGGCAAGCTGAACGCAAGCGCCAAGACACGCAAGCGCGAAGCGGCCGAGAAAGAGCGGGCGTAAGTGCTGGCTCGCTGACTGGCTGTTGTACTAGTTTGTTTGAGAGTGATGGCTGGTTGGGTGAAGGCGAGAGAGAGAGAGAGAGAGAGAGAGAGAGAGAGAGAGAGAGAGAGAGAGAGAGAGAGAGAGAGAGAGAGAGAGAGAGAGACAGAGAGAGAGAGAGAGAGAGAGAGAGAGAGAGAGAGAGAGAGAGAGAGAGAGAGAGAGAGAGAGAGAGAGAGAGAGAGAGAGAGAGAGAGAGAGAGAGAGAGAGAGAGAGAGAGAGAGAGAGGGGAGAGAATGGTGGGTGGAAGCCGACTCACATTTTCTCTTTCGTACTATTAGCGCTTTGATTGCAGCGGCTCCTCCGTCTCCCAGCAGCTCACCGAGCATGGGCAATCGTATGCGACCGCGAACACCGGTTGAGCTGCGCAACCGCTTCCTTACCCGACTAGGCATCGAGGCAAGTACATTGTTTTTGTTTTCCTTGGTTACGTTTTTGTTTCGTGTGTCTCATCCTCTTCTTTGCTCACTCTTCTCTTCTCTGTTTCGATGCCAACGCGTTCTGTGTTGATTCTCTTTGGGTATATCCAGAAGCCAGTCAATCTCCGCTCGCTCCCACTTGCCCAGCCGTCATTGTTGCGATGAACAACTGTTCCCTCATTCATTCGAGGTGTCCTCGCACGTTTCGCTTTGTGCGAGTTCCTCCCTTTCCCTCGCATTTGCATCCCATTTGATTTTGTTTGCCAATATACTTGTTCCAATCTTTACACACGCGCTTGAGCGTATAAAGTTGTCATTGTGTGAAGTGTGTCAAGTTTGTCAGTCTCTCTTTTTTTTTTTTTTTTTTTTTTTTTTTTTTTTTTTTTTTTTTTTTCTTTTTTTTTTCTTTTTTTTTTCTTTTCGTTTTGACACAATGCCGGAGCTTCCCGAACTTGAGCGCGCCAGGAACTTTCTGCTGCTCACCTGCCGCGGGAAGAAAGTCGTGCAAGTATCAGTGGTACGTGTTGAATGAGTCGAGCTGAAGCGCTTGCTCTGGCGCTTTTTTTTTTTTTTTTTTTTTTTTGCGCCATTTGCTTTTTCGATGTCGCTCGTCGCAACACGCTCCCTCTGCACGCGATTCGCGGCTGGAGCTGCGGTGGCCGAGTGGGATTTTGCCATGAGGTGACACACGCCTGGGCTTGCCACCGAAGCGGCCACAGCCCCACACGCTCGAGCCAGACTGCTCCAACCCCGCGACAACGCGTGGACGATGAGAGAGCGCGACCTTTTTTTTTTTTTTTTTTTTTTTCACTTTTTTCACTTTTATTTTTTTCACTTTTCTTTTATTTTTGCCCTTTTTTTTCTTCGGCTGCTTCACGCTTGCGCTTGCTCGGAGCCCCTTTTGTCCTCCTTTGCTCTTCCATGCTGTATGATTGATCTCCGTGTCCTGCCGTTGCTGATGGCAATACGATCGGTGGCATAAGCACGGCCTTGAGAACAGAAATTGACAAGCAAAAAAACGAACACACAAAAAAAAAACAAAAACAAAAAAAAAAAACGAACAAAAAAAAAGCGAAAAAAAGCCTGCGCTTTTTGCTTGCCGTTCTCGTTGCTTCGCGAGCAGTTGAGGCGATGAGTGGTAGAGAGCTGGGAAAACGCTCACACTCAATTCCAGCCACGGCCGCTGGCGAGGATCACACTCATAAGATGCGCCGATAAAGATCAACAAAAAAATCATTAAAAAATTTAAAATTCATTTTTTGAATTTTGTCTTTTTTTTTTTTTCTTTGTTGATCATTTCGTTCTGCTGTCATCAGTGATCTGGCCTGTTGTTCGAGGTGATGCTTGGAGGACTGTCTTGAGCAGAGGGACCTTTGCACCTGCCATGCATGCACACACCTTTATCGCTTCTTATTCGCGTCGCCATCCCAAACGCCTTTTGTTGTATTTTTGTCGTTTTTTATTTTATTTATTTCGTTGATTTTTTTTTTTTTTTTTTTTTTGGTTTTGGTTTTGGCGCGCTTTTTTGCTTCCACCCGCCATTTTTTCCCCTCATTCTCATCTGACTCACTTGTTTGTTGATGCGTCGCGTACATCAGGACGAGGACACGCTTGTGTTTGATGGCGTTGCACCGCAGCAGTTTGCTCAGCAGTTTGTTGGTCGAACGGTGCGCGATGTGAAGCGCCACGGCAAGCACATTTGGATTGAGTTTGACGGCGGTAGCGACGCCGCCTTCCACTTTGGCCTGACGGGTAACTTTTTCTTCAAGTCGCAAACGTCGGGAAAGGTGTTCAAGGCCCACTCGGGTCGTTTGCCGGACGACGACGAGGCGAGCGAGGAGCGCACCCAAGAGGAGAACGAGCGCATCCAAGAGAAGCAGACGGAGCAATCGTTGCGCAGCCGCGGTGCCCTGACCCCGTCCCCATACCGTCGTGCTCGCGTTGACTTTGACTACCAGCCCGTCGACGCGGACATTGACGCTTCCTTGAGCCAGAGCGAGGAGGTCCACGATGGCCACTGGCCCCCCAAGGACTCCAAGTGCGAATTTTCGTTTGACGACCAGAGCCGACTTTCCTTCACCAACACTTGCCGGCTCGGCCGAATCCGTGCTCTGGCCGATTCCTGGGCAGAGCCACCAATCTGCTTCCTCGGATTCGACCCGCTCACGCCCGTCGAGCAAGGCGCGTTTAACGCCGCGCTCGTCCGCCGAAACGTCCCGATCAAGGCGCTGCTGCTTGACCAGTCCTTCCTGGCTGGCGTGGGCAACTGGGTGGCTGATGAAGTACTGTACCAGGCTGGCATCCATCCCGAGCAATACACCAATACACTTTCTGGCGAGCAACTCGCGGCACTGCTCGACAAGATTCAGAGCGTGGTCCGCATTGCTGTCCAGCTGAATGCCGACCCGTCCAAGTATCCTTCCGACTGGCTTTACCACCACCGGTTTTCCAAGGACGACCAGGTGATTGGCGGGGAGAAGCTTAGTTTTGTCGCCGTCGGCGGTCGCACATCAGCGCTGCTGCCCTCGCGCCAGAAAATCCCGCGCGGTGTCAATGTTGGCGCGTCCAACGGCTCCCCGTCTCTGTCGTCCCTGGGCGCTGCGGACCATGGCGCCGATGCCTACGGCGCTGACAACACGGTTGCCGCCTTCCTGGCAGCAACGCAACAGAGCTCTGCTCCCAGCTCTTCTGCTGCATCGTCGCAGGCAATGCTCCAGCAGCAATTGCAGGCCATGCGCCATCAGCATCAGCTGCCACAGCAAAGCCAGGCACATCAGGCCCAGCATCACCTGCAACAGCAGCAACAGCTCCAGTCACAGCATCATCATCACCAGCAGCAGCAGCAGCAGCAGCAGCACCAGCTGCAGCAACAAGCACTCAATCCGACCACGTTCGGCCATTCAGGAGCCACGACGGCTTCGCTGGTGGGCGGTCTGGCGCAGCACCTGGGCGCAGGCGCCAACGGCAGTCACATGCTGGCCGCAGCGTCCGCCTCAGCCGGTGCCGCTGACGACCAACCGCGCCGCTCGCGTGGCCGACCGCGCAAAGACCCGACCGGCCCGCTGAAAGTGAAGGTGCCGTTTATTGGCCCAGACGGCTTGCCGCGCAAGCGCGGACGCCCGAAGAAAGACCCCAACGCGCCCGTGGTGCCGCGCAAGCCGCTGTCTGCTACCCAGGTGAAGCGCAACAAACTAAAAGGTGGCGTCGTGCCCACGGTGCAGCACATGGCTGGCTTCCACGGCGGTGCGATTGCTATGCCTGGAGTGAATGGCGGTGTCAAGAAGCGCGGGCGCCCGCGGTTGGATGCTGCGGGAAGCGCTGCACGCCCTGCCGTCAGAACTGCTGCCCTACAGCTCACACAGTACGGATATCCCGCTATGCCAGGGCTCATGCTCAACCAATTGCCCGGAATGCCCGGATTCAATCCCGCCCAGGGCGGCGTGGATGCGTTGGCCGCTGCCGCGGCGGCCGCATCTGCTGGTGGAAAGAAAGGCAAGCCGCCAAAGGAGCCCAAGCCGCTCTCCAAGGCCAAGTTGAAGAAACAGGCCAAAGCACTCGAGCAAGCGCAACTGCTCCTCCAGCAGCAACAGCAGCAACAGCAGCAGCAGCAACAGCAGCAGCAAGCTCACCTTCATGCACAGCACCTGCAACATGCTCAGCATTTGCCACCTGGCTCGCAACAGCAGCTGCTGCAACAGCAACAGCAACAACTCCAGCAACACAATCTGCTTTTCCAACAGCAACACCTGCAGCAACAGATGCAGCTGCAACAACAGCAGCACATGCTCGGGCTCCAGCAGCAGCATCCGCAGCTGCAGCAGCTCCAGCAACAGCAACTGCAACAACAACAGCAACAACAACAGCAGCAGCAACAACAACACGGCCACAATGCCCACCAACAGCAGATGCTCCAGAACGCCAACTATGGCCATGGCATCGGTGGCGACCAGTCGCTCAACATGATGTTTGCGGCGCTGATGGACCACCCCAACGCTTTCATGCAGGGTAACTCGTCTTCTTCTGCCGTTCCCACAGCGGCTGCCGCCGCCGCCACTGGCAAGGCAAGCAAGCGCAAGGGCGATTCGCCCGCCGCGCCTCCGAAAAAGGGCGCTCGGGCTGATTTGCCTGCTGTCGGAACAGGCTTCCCTCCCAACCCCTCGACTGCTGGCAATATCAACGCGGCCGCTGCCGCTGGAAAGAAGCCGAGCAAGAAGAAGCACCAGGAGGCTGTTGCACAGCCAGTTCCGCAGAGTCACATGCACCAACTGCAACAACAGCACCAGCATCAACTCCAGCAACAGCAACAGCAGCAACAACAACAGCAGTTGTTGCAGCAGCAGCAACAGCACCATCTTCTTCAGCAACAGCAGCAACAGCATCTATTGCAGCAACAGCAACAGCAGCAGCTTCACCTTCAACAGATGCATCTCCAGCAGCAACAACAACAGCAGCAACACTTGCACCGTCGCTGAGATCGCCATCGCCTGGGCAACGTTGCACCTGGGCTGCTGGCTGGTTCCATTCGAGCTCGCGTTCTTGTCTGGTCGCTGTCTGTGGGCGGTGTTCATTCTGTTTGAACCTGGTTTGCCTTGCCGACTGGATCTTGTATGGCGTTTCCTAATCCTTTTATCACCTTCCTTTTTTTCCCCCGCCTTTGCTTCCACTTTTGCGCTCACTTTTACTGCCACTTTCTCGCTTCTTTTACCCTCATATCCCTCGTCCTTTTTTTTCTTTTTCTTTTCCTTTTTTTTTTTTTTTCATTTTTCACATGGTTTTTCTTTTTCTTTTCCTTTTTTTTTTTCATTTTTCACATGGTCTCTTTTTCCCTTGTGTCCCCATTCCACCTTTTTCGGTGATTCCTTGTGTGCTTGTATGTGTCAAATGTGCGTGCGTGCGTTTTCCTTGTCTTTGTGCCAGTGCAACAATTTCATTGTACACGGCCAACGAGTCATGCTGCAGTCTGACGTAAGACCGGCATGTGGCACGAAACGATCATGCTGCAGTCTGACGTAAGACCGGCATGTGTAAAAAGTTCGAACGAAAATGCGTAGACACAACCAAAAACGAGAAAAAATCAAACGGCGCCAGTTGATGCGAAGACCGAAAAACTCGCAACATACAGCATACATACTGGCCGTTTACGGGGACTCCTCGTCCAAGGTCACGTACGAGTCGGGCTGGGCCTCAGAGGCAGGGGTTGCAAACACGGGAGTTTTGTAGGCCACCTCCTCACTGGAGATTGCGGAAGCGGCAGTGTGAGGTTCATACCCGGCCTCAATCGCCTTCTGCACCGCAGAGCTTTCGTACTGAGGGGGCAAAGCGCTTGTGTCCGCAATCCGAGCGGCAGGCGACGCATATGCTGAATCGTCATCGGTAGGCATGCCAGAGTTTCCATACAAGGCTTGGGAATTTCCGTAGGCAGGTGCACCAAGACTGTCGTACAACTCTTCTGAACCTCCGCCGCCAAGCGTCGCGTACGTGTCTTCTTTCCTCTGGAGAGTGTCGTAGTCGGCGCTGAACGCCTCGTTCACAACGGTCGTAGTGAAATTAGATGAGGTCGTGCTCGGTTGGCGCAGAATTCCGGGAACCAGGAACACACTCGAGTTTGTCTCATAAACAGGTTTCTGCTTCTTGGCGCGACGACGACGTGCAAGCACGAGCAAGAGCAGCAAAAGGAGAAGGAGCAGGAAGAATCCTGCACCGGCACCAGCCCCGATCGCTGTGACGGTAGCGGAGCCGGACGACGGAGGTTCGATGAACTCACAATGCGCGAGCAAAGTGGCGTTCCAGGTTCGGCTTGCAGTACAAGCAAAGCCGTCGGTGTAGTTCCCGGTCAGTCGATAGCCTTTGGCGCAAGACACGGTGCATTCGGAGCCAAAGTCGGTCGAGTTGTTCGTGCAGTTCACGGTGCCGTGCGGAAGCGTCAGAACGTCGCAAGCAACAATGGTGCACGAGGCGTCCATCGGGCGGTCCCACTCTCGTGTCGCCAGGCACTCGACAACATCGGCGTAGTCTCCTCCAAGCGAGTAGCCGGGGTTGCAGCTCGGGATGCACTCGGATCCGTAGTTTGTGTTGTCGTTGGTGCACAGAACAGCACCGTTTTCAAGCGTCAGAGGATCGCACGATACAATCGTGCATTCTGCTTGCAGCGTTGCGCTCCACTCGCGCGACGCCTGACACGTCACAGGATTTGTGTTGGCTCCGCCAAGGGTGTAGCCTGCATTGCAGCTCGGTGTGCATTCCGAGAGGTAGTTTGTGTTGCCATTGGTACAGTCGATGGCACCGTTTTCGAGAGTCAGAGGGTCGCACGACACAATCTGGCAGTGCGCAGAGAGGGTTGCGTTCCACAGCTGCGAGGCGTTGCAGCGCACTGCGCCAGTGTAGTCACCCTCCAGTGTGAAGCCAGCGTTGCAGTACGGGGTGCACTGCGAGTTGTAAGCAGTCGTTCCTCCAACGCAGTTCAGTCCACCATTACCAAGAGAAAGCGCGGGGCAGGCGATCGGGTCGCAGTAGAACGTCTCGGGACGTGACCAGGTGGTATCCGCTTTGCACACCGAATCGACAGTAGCAAGTGGCGCGTAACCACGGAGACGGAAGCCAGCGTTGCAAGAAATGGTGCAGATACCACCAAGCGAGTATCCATCACAGTTGACAGCTCCATTGGTTGGCGCTGCCATAGTGTGCGGACAATGTTCCGCATACAGAACGCATGTGGGTGTCCCGCGCGACCACACGCCGACAGAAGCAGTGCTGGACAGGCAAGTGACAGGAACAACACGCTGCGATGTGCCGTCCACGACATAGCCCGAATCGCAAGAGTAGGTGCACACTGTTCCGATGCTGCGAGTGGTCGGCTGGCAGCTCACGCTGCCGAGAGTGATTGAGGTTGGCGGGGCGGGGCAGTAGTTTGTGATAGTATTACAAGAGCTCGAGTAAGAGGACCAACCGAAAGAGCTAGTGTAGTCTGAGCAAGTGATGGTTGCGGTGGCAGACAGCTGATATCCATTGTTGCAGCTCATTGAGCAAGTTCCCTGATCTGAAGGGCATTGTCGAAACAAAAAAACAAACGAAAACAAAAACGATCATTTTGATAAGTGTTGCATGCGGACGCATCCTGACAGTAGAACAGCATCAGTACTCTTACAAGTCGTGCTACCGCAATTAAACTGCCCATTCGTCGGATTGCTTGGATTGCCACAGTTGATCGTGTTGCATTGGAAGTTGCGGCCAGTCCAATACTTGTTTGATTGGCACGTAACAGTGCCTGAAGCGGATGTTGAGCGAGTGCCGGTGGCACACGAATGACTGCAAACGCCACCAACTGTCTGTCGGTTGCAGTTCCACGAGCCAGACGTGAATGATGCAGGGAAACCACACGACTTGGCTGCCATCTTGCAGCAGGTGTACTTCCAGCGCCGATCTTCATTGCTGTTGCTGTTAACTGCAAGCCATTCAACGCTAAGGGGTCAGACCCAATCTTGTGATCCACCAATCGTACGATTCTTTACCTGAAGACATGCCAGCGATAAACTGAAAAGACTGGGGGCAGGTGTAGAAAAGACGTCCGTCATAGTTGTTCACTTCGGCAGTCGTCGAACACCCACCCGTGTACTCGAACTCGGGAATCATTTGAACGGTTTTCACTTGATAAAGACGATCTTCTTTGGTGTTCCAGTGGCGTGAGTTCATCCCGTAGATTGTTCGACCCTGACCAGCAGTCCAGCTGAAATCCTGTCGTTCCAACAGGCATCAGCTCCAGATCAATACAAGCTACATCCATCCTGAATGCGAATCCAAAGCTTATTACCTTATCCCAATCGTTCATCTGAAAGTAGTTTTGGTCGGGAACGTTCCCCTTCGTGATTTGTTCGCCAGAATGCGTGATGCAACTCCTGCGATACTTCCACCAACGGTCTTCTTTCTTGTTATCGTGCTCGGATTCAAACTAACAGCGGATTTACACAGTCAGCGCCAGCACATCATGCAATGCAACGCTCCCCGTACTTACGCCCTTGAACCAGCATTGCACTTCCGTGCCGACATCGGCCGATTCCCAGTTGCTGTTGTCCATCGTGAACAGATGATACCTATATTGCGACAAAGTAAGTCAATTGGAGCAAACGCACCAACAGACCCTCGCGAGTTGCAAACGTACCATCCATAGTCGGTATCGTAGAAGGTAGCTGCGCAACCAAAGGCAATCAACACAAAGGGTGAGTTCCAATTTCACAGCGCCGCGCTTGCTTCCAAATGCCCTTTGTCCTGCTCCTCACCCTCCGCTTCTATCCTCGAAACCACGACGCTCTAATTCATTCAACCCCCGTCGGCTGAATCAACAAACCCAAAAAGGAAAATGACAATTGCGAGGAGGGGTTGTGGGTTTCTTGCGAGTCCGCTGTTTTTTTTTTTTTTTTTTTTTTTGATTTTCCGTTTCGGAAGGAAGACGAGTATTGCGCACGTCGAAAGGATTCACACTACAGCAAGCAAAGCGTAACGACTCCATTCACAAACCCAGAGTCGAGCGTCTGGGACTTGAGCGAAGGCGGTGTATCCAAAAACCCCGTTCCAAAAACAAACAAACAAAAACCCGCAAACAGCAATTTCGGACGAGTGGCTGCCTCCCCCGCCCACGACTCCTTGTCTTCCCTTGCATGCATCTTCGCTATTTTTTCTCGTAATGAATATTCCAATGAATCGGCTTGCCTCTCATTCCATTTTCGAGAGAAAGAGAGCAGCGCATGAAGTATGAGTCATCAAAGTAAACAAAACTTCAAAGATATCCTCGAAGGTAGGGGGAAAAGCAATGAGCGAAGCTCTTTTTCGTTTCGCGCGGTTCGTCATTCGGGCTTTGTGCCCTCCATTTCACCCCAGCGCTCATTCGTGCGAATTCTCAGCGCGTGCAAGCAGCGGGCACATGGGGGCCCTTCGTTTGTCTGGTCGAAGAACTGCCGTGTGGTGTGAGCGTGGCTGTTTTTTGTTTTTTGTTTTTAAAAAATATACAGTAAAATCCAATCAAACGAACTCATCGCTGACAGTCCTCACGTTGCTTCACAACAACAACAAAGAGCGTCAACGAACGAGTACGCTCCGGTGCTCTCCAGAGACAAGCCAATGTCACCTGCGATCAAGATGCGGTTTATCTGCCGGGTTTGCCGACTGTTTCTTTTCCTTGGTATTTTTGTTTGTTTTGCCGGTTATCAAAAGGTTCTCATTGAATGTCAACGGGTAACGATGGGTTGAGTGTGGGTGGCAGGCAGTACCAGAAGCGCCGTGCGTGAGCGCCAAAAGCGCTAACGATGCTACAAGAGCAACGTTCAGACAACGGAACAAACGCATGGAACAAAGGAAAAGCAAGAAAAAGAACGAAGAAGAAGATCAAAACAAAAAAAGTAAACAAACAAACAAACAAAAAAAAAAAAAAAAATGAATGAAACAGCAAGTCATGCCGATTTCAGCAATAGATCTATGTGCAAATTGGTAAAGGATGTGGACTTCCCAACGTCTAGCAATGACGGTGATGCAACGTCCCCACGACGTTCCCAACGTCTAGCAATGACGGTGATGTGGGCCGCGCTCCATGTACCAACTTTATCGTTTGAGCTGCGGATCGGATCGTTTGGTCCTTCTGGTGGCTCTCCATTGAACTTGCCTTTGACGTTGCAATTCTCGATACTTCTCAATGTGGCCTTGCATTGAATCTGACAATTGAAATCGCAGAAAGAAAGCTCCATGTTCAGTCGATTATCTTTCTTTGCAGGCAGCCATGCAGCACCCTCTCGAGGCGAGCTTGCCGTACGACGAGTACGATTTCTGGATTGCCGAAACCCTCGCTGAAGATGACTATCGTTGCCACACATACAGGTAACCAAACGCGGCCCATTGCAAGCACAATCCATGCCATAAACGGCGACAGAGCGTGATCAAAACGAAGCGAAACGGAGCGAAACAAAATTCAAACGTTTCAAAAACTGTTGCCAACTCACGTTTGATCACCCTCTTTGTTCAACCACGCAGCCCCGACGAGAGTGCCCAAGTGGACGACGTCTGGGTGAAGCTCATGAAGCAGCTGCAGGACAACGCCGAGACGAGTGCTGTTGACAAGGTGAGCAGGAAAGAAATCCAAGCGCAACGCAAAAACAAGATGAAACAGTTTCAAAACAACGCGCCATCCATCCAATCCCTTTGACTGTTGCTGAAACGAGCTTCCGGGAGAGTGCGGTGCGGGGTTGTATTTTGGGACGTTGTTCTTTTTTGCATTCGGTGGATGCGTTGAAGCGTGGTGGCAACAAACAGCGGTTCCAGGCTCTGTTGGTTGTGTATTTCGAAAAGCTGTTGAAAAACAGCCCCGACTTACCTCAAATCTATTCATCAAACCGTTCTAGATTCGTCAACTCTTGCAACGAGGCATTGCACGCCATCGACGTGGCGGTCTGTGGAGCTTGCTTCTGGGAACGCGGTTTATCCGCGCCAACAGCGAATACGATTACAAGGTACAAAATGTTGCACTGCCTGCCGCTTTCTTGAGGTGGCAAAAACACGAGATACTGCACCGTCTTGACTTGTCGCGTTGCTTACTTGCTCGATATGCTGACCAGGTCAATCGCGAAGCTGTGCAAGTCCAACGCGAAATTTTCGAGCAACGTGAGGACGAGCTACGCCAGCACTACCAACAACAGGCTAAGAATGCTGCCCTGTGTCAGTCACAGCTGGAAGCGGCACTTGCCAAGGCGTTGAGCACCGACGAAACAACTGCATCGCCTGACTCGAGCAGCGAGAAAAAGAATGCTGCCCCACTGGTGTGCAAAGATGTGCCGTTGCATTCGCTGCCAAAGATGATGGCGCACAATCGTCCGCGCAAAACCCATGCAACTCATATCCTGGACATGGATATCGATGAGATTGCCGCTCTCGAATCGCCCGGAACGGCAGCAGCCACTGCGAAAAAACAGGAGCAGTTCGCCGCTGCTCTTCGCCAGATCAAGCTCGACTTGGGTACGCCTTGAGCATTGGCAGTTGCATCCTGTGGGCGCGCCTTTGTGCAAGCTCTACTTGCATGCTTACAACACAACCAAATGAATTCACAATGCTTGCGCTTTGTTTTGCCAGATCGAACCTTCCCGACTCACCGCATGTTCTCTGGTTCGGATCTGACTGGTCGATCCATGATGTTCAACGTGCTGGCACAGTATGCCAAGTACAATCCGACAGTTGGGTATTGCCAAGGTACAGTGTTTATCCGAGTGTTTTTCTTTTGATGTGTTAGGTTCTCACCACGACCAAAACCTTGACACTACAGGCATGTCATCGATTGCTGCAATGCTGCTGATGCACCTCGACGAGGAATCCACCTTCTGGGCCTTGGTGTCAATCTTTGAGCGTCCCAAGTACCTGAGCGGCTACTATGACACGTCGCTCCATCGTATTCAGCACCACGCTGACGTGTTTAACAAAATCTTGTCGATCAAGTTCCCGGCGTTGTCCACCCACCTTGTAAATGACCCCATGGAGAGAAGTTTTGTCGTCCGTTCTCAAACTTGCGGACGAAATGCGTTGCACACTCAACCAATTTGACTCTTGGCAGGAAAATCTTGGGATTCACCCGCTCATGTACACCGTGCCCTGGTTTATGTGCATGTTTACGTCCTTGCCCTGCTGGGACACAGTTCTCGCCATCTGGGACATGTTGATGCTGGAAGGCGTGGTGACCATCTTCCGAGTGGCCATCTGCTTGATGGACGTCTGCAAAGGTGAGGAGGCGTTGAGCGAATTACTGTGATTCTGGCAGCAAGTGGCTTGCATGGTTGCTCTGACTCATCTGGGCTGAATATTGTTGCATGGTTTCTTGCAATAGAGGAGCTGCTGGCGATGGACGGCGTTGAGCAAATTCTGCCTTACTTGCAGCATCCCCCAGTGAACAGGGTCATGCGAAATGTGTTTGTTCCCAAGCTTCTTGAGTGCGACATTTCCAAGGCCCACATCGACGCCGCAGAAGGGCTGCTCAAGGCAGAGAGCGCACCTGTTGCCGTCGAGGCCGTCGCCCAGGACTCGCTGCCAGAGTCCACCAAGCCCGTCAATGACGAGAATGAAAGCAGCAACGGTGCAATCAAGGGATCCTTGGTCAAGGCGACTGGTAAGTGCAGCATTCGCGATTCTCGAGTCACCCTGCCTTTTCGAAACACTCACTTTGGCTGAGCGACGATCGTCTGCTGCAGACTCTGGCGCTGTGCCGAAAGCTTCCCGATTCAAGCGGCTGCTGTCAAACATGGCGACCTCCAAGGCAAAGGCAGCCATATCGCGCTCTATCTCGAGCTCGGCGTTGAAGGATGCCTCCAATCGGGTACCAAGCAACCTTCGCGCGCGGCTGTCGCGGAACAACCCCCGTTCGCAACCGAAACTGTCGGTCGAGCCGAGCGCATCGAGCATGGAGGAAGCGACCTGCGGTTCCAATTCCGCTTTGCCGCAGGGCGAGGCCGCTAACTACCACCCGCTCCTCATTGAGAACGACGAGGAAGGTGCTGGCGATCGGAGCTTCCTCGATGCCAGCTTTGTGTCTCTGCGCTCAACTTCGTCCCCGACTCGTTCGGTCCCTCGGTTTAATGGCAACATGAGCATGATTGTTTCCAGCGGTGGCATGGACCTGGATGACGATGAAGTTTGCCAACCAGTCCAAGCATTGCCGGAAGTGCAGGATTTGAACATGAGCGTCGATTCTGCGCTCTTCTTTGCCTCTCGCAACAAAGCGCACGGCTATGGTGCTGCGGGAGCGACAGCTCGTTCACGCCAAGTGCGCATTACCTCTCCTGTGTCTGGTTCCTACGTTCGCAGTGGATGGGGAGATCGCACCTTGCCCATGGTCTCGCCAATGGCCACGCCGTCCAGCCGCAAGCTGGTGAAGGGCTCGCCGAGTCAAATGCTCTCCTTCCGAGAGTTCAACACGACCACCCCATTGCGCCAAACCCAGACCAAGCAGCTCAAGCCGTTCACTGGCGCAAAGAAACGCGAACTGGCAACTGCAGTCACTCCTGGTGCCCACAGCTCACTGCGAGCCGCTCCTTCCGCAAACACCGGACAGAGCCACATCAAGCCTTCTCGACCATTGGCAGCTGTTCCCATCCGACAAATCCACATCCCCAACTCAATGTTGTCATCATCGTCTAGCCCCGCTGCGTCGCCCTTCCTGGTCCGCGGCCAATTGCTGCGATCAGCCGCCCGCAACAACGCCGCGGGAAAGGGGGCATCGCCAGGCGCCTTCTCTCCTTCGTCTCGCAAGGTTCGAGTCAATGCCACCCAATCTCCACATTCTGAAGCCAAGCGGCGCTTTGCGTCTCCCGGAGCGTTTTCGTTGAATTCTCCTGGAGGCCGTTCGCTGGACTCTCTCGGTGCCATGACGCCCGAGGTGTCCATGTCGCCGGATGTGGAGCTGTGCGAGATGACTCCAGTGGTCATGTCGCGGTCTCGCGCTGCGGCATGCACTCAAAACATTTTCTTGGATATGGATTAATGCAGTAAAAGGTCTCCACACGGAGAGAGTTGACGTGAAAGCCAAAGTGAGCGAAGGGGGGGGGATGAAGAGAGGTGTATCTATTTGTTTGAATTCTTGTGAGTATGTGTGATGATTGTTGATTGTGTTCGCGACGTCGAAATATAGTATTGTTGTCATCTGTAAATTTTTCATTTTCATTTAAAGCCGATCGACCAATGGTGTGAGCAACGAAACAAAAAACGACTTTCAAACTAACGGTTGCTGCCGACTCTGAAACCATGTGAGCGCTTTCAACACATCAGCTTCCTCTGATGAGAGCACGTCAAACGACGAAACAGCGCGCAACAAAATGGCACCCAGACCACAGCGCTCAAGAAACTCGGACGCGCGGTAGAGCGCATAGTGATCGACTTCGGCTTGGCGAACCAGTCGCTTGAAGTGATTCATTTCTTGCGTGACACGCAGCTTGTACAAATCCAGAGCGTGTCGCAAAACGAGCGGATCGGGTGCGGAGAAGAGCGCCAGCCGCAGCTCTGTTGCAAACTCACGGCAGGATTCTGGCAAATCCGCGAATAGCGGGTCTGGTTGTCCATCCTCCATTTTCACAGCAACGGTGGGTGTTGGAATGTGCGGGGGCAGCATGTCTGGTTCGGTCTGTTCGGCAACGCGGAGCTTGAGAGCTTTGGCGCGCAGGTTGGAGGGATTGCTGGGAGTCACAGGCATGGGAACGGGTCCGTGCGGTCCCAACACCAATCCTTGACTGTTCGTGGTGCCAACGCGCACGATCAAATTCGGAGCAACAACGCACGAGAGGGAGGATGTGAGTTCCGCAGGAAGCTGAGGCGCATCGGCAGGCGTAGGTACGGAACTTGAGACTGGATTATGAGAGCTGTGATCCAAGAGGGCGTTGAGCTGTGCAAAGCCAACAGCGCCGGCAAATTTGGCCAAATCTGCAACTGCAGCGGCGAGGGAACTGCGAAGCTCTGCAGAGGATTCGACGGTGACTTCCACGTTGGTTCCGCACAAACACGCAAACAACACATGGTCGAGCACGTTGGCAGGCAAGGTCCGCACGGTTCGAGGGAAGTATTGGAGACACAAATCGACCCATTCGTCCAACCGGGCCAGAACATCCGGGACGGCGGAGGCGAGCCACGCCGACAGCACGGGCGACTGCGCTGTAGCCGCGATCATGTCGAGTGGACCAAAGGAAGAAAGTTGGTGCGCCAGTGACGTTGGCGCATCGCCATGAGAGGATGGCGGGGCAGAATCCGACTGCAGGCCAGACTGGTAGGACGACGGGAGCGCGGCCTGGAAGCTCTGCCCGCGCGGTCGCGGGGTGCCAGCACCCGCAGCTGTCCAATCGCGACCGAGCTGCCTCATGGCGGTGGCTGGGTCTGGCAGACGCGCAGGCAACAGCAGGGAAAGGCTGTGCGAGAAGCGATCGAGATCCGAGCGGAAGAGATCAAACGGTGAGACTGCATCCGAGGCGAGGGCGTCGGCCGCTTTGGGCGACAGGACATGAACGAGACAGAGCAGGTATTCGTCCGAACGGTAGCTGCCTGACTGGTTGAGCGGATCATCGTCGACATCGGGCGTTGCCACCGAGCGGGAGGACGCGTCGCCGCCGTCCGTCGGGAATTGCAAAGAGAGTGCCGAGAGCTCCCGCGATCCTCTTAGAAGCGTGTAGTAAGTCAGCACTGGCAGACTGAGCTTGCTTGCGTCCGGAGGCGCGACACTGAATGATGGTCGGCGAACGTCTCCGGTGTGCATTGCGTTGTGCTTGGCTGGTTGGCCATCGGGATGCAGCAGCTGGTAATCCATCGCGCCATTTGAAGGGGCTGGACTGGCGTGGTCGCCTGCTAGAATGTCGCTTCCATGACCATGACCTTGGCTATGACCTTGGCGATGACCATTTCCCGACGGCGACGGCGGCTGCTCGTGCTGGAGCGCCAAGGTGAGCATCGTCCGGGCAACGGCGGGATCGACCTGGGCCACATTGCCAGAGCCCGCATAGATGGATCCCTTGAGCAGGCGCTTGGCGATGAATGTCTTGAGCTCCTGCTCGGCCTCAATGGACAGATTGGCTGCGATCAGCGTCAGGGTAAAGTCAGAGTTGACGAGACTCTCGCGCGTCAGGAACTCGCCAACAGCAGACTGTTGTTGCTGAGGTTGTTGAGTTTGCTGAGGCTGTTGAGCCTGCTGGGTGTGGAGGAGGTGGTGCGGCTGCGCGAGCGACAGATCAGAGTCGGGCGCTGGCTGATCGTCATCGCTGTTCGCTGTTGCTGTTGCTGCTGCTGCTGCTGCTGTTGCTGTTGCTGTTGCTGCTCCGGGGCTGGGGACGACCTTGATCCGATTCGCATGGAACGAGTACAGCGCATAGGCGGAGTGCAACTCGCGGGGCGGCGCGTCAGAGTCGCTGTCCATCTTCCCGTTCTGCTGAAGCGCTTTGAGACGTAGACTGAACACCAATGATTTCTCAACGAGCAATGGTGATGATGATCTTCCGCCCTTTTCCCCCAAGGCGCATGTGATGGGGATGGCTAAGTAACGGTGTGTTTTGTGAGTTGGATCCGTCGTCGGTCTCAAGTGTGTTCGGCAAGCAGGATCATCATCGCAAAACTCAGCGCCAATTCCAATGTAAATCTCGTCTTCTCTTCCCCCCTTTTCCCCTCGTCTTCCCTCAGGAGCAGCTGAAGTGCTCTTTTTGTTGATGTGTTGTGTTCTCACGCTGTCGTTACTCATGTCCTTGTTTTCCCCGCCATTCACGAATGCTAGCCCTTCTTCCAAACAAGGACTCTCTGGTGGTACAGTGTTACTCCCCTTTCTCAGTTTTCCTTTTCCTTTTTTTTTTTTTTTTCATTTTTGTCATTCCTTTTCTCATTTTCCCATCCGCGGCGGCTTCTTTGGCTTTGTCTGGCTCTGTTCTCTGTCCTTCTTCTCACCCGCACACACACATACATACACATACACACACACATACACACTTGCACTGACACACACTTGCACACACGCTCTTCTTAATGGCGATGCGTGTGTTGCTGCCTCCGCTCGCGCTCTTCGCCGCCTGCTTAGCAATGACGACTCGTCCCACTCTGTGTAAGTTTCCCCGCAACAAAGAGGGGGTTTTGAGACGAGTGAAGGGGGACGCGGCATCATGCAAAAAGCCAACTCTTCGCCCCTGCTTCAGAGGGAGGGTTGGCCGAAGTCAAATCACGTTCAAACTCAAATTCCCAACAATAGTGGCCATCAGCAGTTCAACGAACACTTGAGAATCTCAAAGTCTCAGAATCAGAAGCAGCAAACAGCAAATAGCCAGCAAAGACCTACTCGTGACGAGGAAATGAGCGAGTTTGTGGAGAAGGTGGAGAGTTGCAATGGATGGATGAACTCATTCACTCGGTTTGGTGCTTTTTTGTGGCTTTGCAGCGGCGTATGTCGAGACACTATTGCCGTCTCAGTAAGTAGAATTCCCCTTGAAACTATTTTCGGTGGACTGAGAGGGCAGAGAATATCGAACGAATCCCGGTAACTCGGCCTCGCTCGTTGTTGTTGGCAGGTTTAGTCCCTACACGCCGCCTGGAGTGAGTGGGCAGTGGAGTTTCTTCCAGGGTCTGGACTCCAATTGCTACATTAAAGCTGCTTGCGCGATTAACCTATCAAGTGACAACTACAATACAAACTGCCATCTTTGTGTTTTCGTAGATTTCCAGCTGGTACGACATTGGTGCACAGGATAGAAATTGGAGAATCCAAGCTGCATGTATTACCTCCACTGCCGGTGAATCTTACACGAGCGGCTCCTTCGTCATCCCGGGGGTGACGGGGCCGACTGGGTTTCCAAACAATGGATCATGGAACATTCTCGGCGCAGTAAGTACCAAAAAATATGGCCGGGAGCGTGCCCCGCCGCCGCCATCGGCCTCTCCTCTCTCACCTTTTGAAATGATGAGCAGGGCTTTACCAAGTATTTGAGCTACGGATACATGTTGGACGGCCTGGGGTCCACTTTCGTTGCTACTCTCCAAGATCGATACTACGAGGGCCGTGGTAGAGCCACACCAGCCGAATTTGAAACGGGCACTTGCGCGTGGCAACCGACGGCGAACGCGGCACTAGGCCCACTCGGCGCCACTTGCAGCGGTACCTTTTCTTACTTTGCCGGCGTGAGCTCGAGTAAGAATCCTTGCTAAGTGGGACTAGGGACGGCTGCGTTTGTGATCGCTGATTTCTGGCTGTGTGTGCGTTTGTAGCTTACGACAACACCAACAAGGACCGCATCTGGAAGTACTATTGCTGTGCAATGGCACCAAAGGCCTGTCCGGCAATTCCAGCGCTGACCAATGGAACGTGGGTTTGTCCATACACCACTGTGGGAGCCGTCTGCAACCAAACGTGCTCGCTGGGATCACGTCCAAGCACGTCTGGAGCGACCGTCACTTGTCAGAGCAACAAAGCGTGGACGACCTCGACGGCGACCTGCAATCTCGGAAGCTGCGGTAGTTTGCCCACAGTTGCGCATGGGAGCTTTTCCTGCAGCTCTGGCAGTCTGTGTACGTGATGACCGTGAAGTTTGCTTATTTATGGTGTGAGGGTTTGCTCACGACGTGCATTTCTTTGATCGTTATTGTGGTCAGATGGCGCATCGTGCTCGCTCGGCTGCGACGATGGCTACCAACCCTCAGCTCCCACGTCCATCAGCTGCGGGGACACTGGCACGGCATTTGCATGGTCGACGCCCAGCAATGGCTGCGGGCTTGTCTCGGCGTATTGCGATGCGGCCTTCACGATTGCTCCAGAGCATGGCTCGGTCGATTGCGGGACATCCCCGCAGCAGCTCGGCACGGTCTGCAGCTACAGTTGCAATGCTGGCTACATTCTTGCCACAGAAGGTGGCACGGCGACCACCCGGACATGCGCTACCCTCAATAGTGCCCAAGGCCAGTGGACTGGCGGATCGTACCCAGTTTGCGTGCTCGACCCAGCGTACTGCTCGGGAGTGTCCGCTCCGACGCACGGCGAGGTGAACTGCGACAACCGCGCCCTGGGTGGATCGTGCGTCTACGAATGCACGTCTGGATATCAGATTCGCGGCCAGGCCGCGCACACTACCTTCACGACCACATGCACTGTGAGCGACTGGTCGGCGGCCGCTCCAGTGTGCGATCCTGTCGAGTGCTCGACGCTGTCGTTGCTGTTTGGTGGCGTGACGTGCTCGGCTGGAATGCACTACCCTTCGACCTGCACGGCCTTTTGCCACGAAGGTTTCGATCTGAGCGGAGCTGTTACAGTGGTGACGTGCAATGCCAGTGCTCAATGGGATGCAGACCTTTCTGCTCTCTGCACAGTGCACTATACACCTGCTTCAAACAATGCTCGCACAATTGCGCTGACGGCCGGCCTTGCTGCGGGCGTTGTGTGCCTGCTGTTGCTTGCGCTGATTCTGATCATTTATTGGGATCGTCGTCGTCGTCACAACCGTCGCCGACAATCCGTGCAAAAGGCTGACTCGACCCTAACGCGGAAGCAGATGGTAGAAATGTCGCCAGCGCAATCTCCGGGCAAAGGGCCAGATCAAGTCGAATCCAAGTCGAATACGTACGCGGTCGCAGGGCAACGCAAGCCCGTCGATGGTGATCTGAAGCAAAGCGCCGAGCATACGTATGCCACAAGCCCTGAACGCGTGTACAGCTCTATTGTCACGGAAACCACATCACTCCGACAAGGTCTTGTGCTTGGCGCCAAACTGGGCTCGGGCGTATCTGGGGTTGTTTTCCGTGGCCAGCTACCATCCAATCTCGTGCCTAAAGATGCCAAGTACTTGTTAACGGACGAAAGGCAGCCGCACCTGGCAGTTGCAGTCAAAACCATTCCAGCTGGCGCAGATCCTAAATCTCGACGCGAGTTTATCGAAGAGGCCCGCATGATGGCGCGATTCGACAATCCCAATGTTGTGCGCGCCATCTGCTCCTTGCTCGAAGCAGAGCCTCTCCTGTGCGTGCTGGAACTGATGCCGTTCGGCGATTTGCGAGGCGTGTTGCAAAAGTCGATCAAAGTCCAAGTGTCGTGGACGCGTGCAGAGTCGGCACATGCCCTGGCTCAGGTCGCTCGCGGACTCGACTACCTCGAGCAAATTCGCTTTGTTCACCGTGACATTGCGGCGCGGAACTGCTTGGTCGGCGCGAATCTCGCCGTCAAAATTTCCGACTTTGGGCTGTCGCGCGCCATAGCCGAGGAGACTGACTACTACCGCATGGAGACCAAAGGCCGTCTTCCAGTGAAGGTAATTTTGTTCTCGAGGGTTTGCTGAGCTCGCAGGAGGGTACTGTAGAAGAGCACGAGAAGAAACTAACCAGGCTGTTTTGCTCGTCGACAGTGGATGGCTCCTGAGTGTCTGATGTATCGCAAGTTTACACATCAAAGCGATGTTTGGGCATTTGGAGTTCTTGCTTGTAAGTGAAAATCGGGGGACTTGGACCTTGGGGTTTTGCTTGGCCTTTGGCTGATGATTGGGATTGTTTTTTTTTTGGTTTTGTTTCTCTTCAGGGGAGGTTTACGCTTACGGCGCATCGCCTTATGGAAACCAAAAGGGTCCGGAGATTCTCGCGCAGGTGGAAGGTGGCTTCCGACTGCCAAAACCTTCGGGATGCGACGATGTGGACTTTGAACAAGTTTTCAAGTGCTGGAATCGTGAGCCATTGTCCCGCCCGTCCTTTGCCACATTGAGTGCGTACTTTGCGCAAGTAGCTTTGAGCGCGCCTGTGCGTGATATTGGTTTACTTGTTTCTTCATGAAGTGGTGGCCCAAAAGCCATTTTGGAACCGACAACTCGAATAGTTCAAGTTGCCTGATTGCTGTTTTTCCATGTGCCTTGCTCTTTTTGTGTCCGCTTGTAGTTTCACTGAATTGTTGATTTTGTGATGATTGCTTTGGACATTGCCGGTTGTCTACTCTATTGGATTTCCTTGTGTGTGTTTTTTGAGTGTGAGGCTACTCCTTTTTTTTTTTTCTTTGGTTTTCTATTCTTTTCTTTTCTTTTTTGCCCCCACTTTTCTCTTCTCGTCCTTGGTTCTCTTGTTCTTCTCATTCACACCCATCCACATACAACACCTGCGCACACATCCACACACATGGCGCTGCGCGTGGTCCTGCTGCCGCTGGTGCTCGTTGCCGCATGCATTGCATTGACGACGCGGCCCGTTCTGTGTAAGTTGCGCAAGCCCACACGGCTGTGCGATCGGCTGATTTCTTCAACTCGCCCGACCGCTCGCCCGCTCTCTTCTTCTTGTTCCTGTCATCGGGTTGCTCTCTTCCTCCCGCTCTCTCACACATACTCTCTCTTCCGTCGTGCTCTCTCACACGCACATCCGTCTCTCATGGCTGCAGGCCGGTCAATACACAGAATACAAAAACAACCACAAAAATTGTTGTATTTCTTTTTTATTTTTTCATTCGCTTATCGATTTTCTCACGACTTTCTCGTCAGCGCACTGCATGTCGACCAAGCACACGACTACTAATAGTGTGTTGTGTGCGTGTGTTGTGTGCGTGTGTCTCAGCGTGAGGATTATCGTGAGAAAACATGGGAGCACAACGGAGAATAGGCTTGTTCATTCGAGCGTGTTGTTTGTGCCGCAAACCCAAAAAACACAAAATGCAAACTGCCGCTCCTTCTTTGCGTCACTTTTGAGCGTTTGAGGCGGAACGACGCGGGCATTCCACCGAGTGCGCTGCAATGCAAGTTTGAATCACTGTTATTGTGATGCGCGCTATGCACAGCACAGAGCACTTGGAGATCACAAACAGCCGGAGTATGATGGGAAATGCGAAAACCCGACGGCCGTTTTTTGTTTGATTTGGTTGTTATCAATTCAATGGAAATTGAAATAGCTTCTTTTGTGATTCTTTGGGTTTGTTGATGAAAACGGGCATTGAAAATTGACGGATAATGATTGCAAATTATCAGATAATGAATAATGCCTGTGGCTGTAGGAACGGTGAGAGAAGAGTTGGGGGTGAGAGGG